CATCGAAAACAGCGTCAGAACATCTAAACCCTTAAATGTAGGTGTTCGATGTCCGCCCGACTCCCGGCGAACGGGCGAACATCCAAAACAGCATGTAAACATCGGCTCAAATACCGTCCCAGTATTGGGGAATCGTATTTGAATCCCTTTTGAAGCCGGCTTCAACTTGGATTCAAAACCGTCCCAGGATTGGGAATCGTATTTGAAGCCCCAAGGGCCCACTTGGGGCAAGCTTGGTGAGCCAAACAAGAGATGACAACCAGCCAGGATCCTGTCTGCTCATACGTGGTACGGGTGGGACACTAAAGCAAATCTTGCTTCCTTATAGACTGAAGGGAGTCCTGGGATCGCCTCCAAATACATTTCCCCAACTCTGTGAAATAGAGTACGGCACCAGTTTAAGTAAATTGGTGACTTGGGCCCCGTATACAGGAAGTCGGATGGTCGCAAAACCGTAGTGTCCCACCCGTACGACGCATGAGCAGACAGGATCACCCCTTATACAGGAAGGTAGTTTTTCTGGGTTGTTGACACAGCCAAAAGCGACGACGGCTTTCCGGGATTTGGGGCAAGCCACGAACTAAAATTCTGGTGGTGGCATCCTGAAGCCAGCGGCTGACCCAAAACTTTTCCTCATGGTTACTCATCTATATATAGAACTTTTGAATATCCCGAGTCCCCTCGGCTTCAAACACCGTCCCAGTATTGGGGAATCGTGTTTGAAGCCATATTGAAGCCGGCTTCAAGCTGGCTTCGAATACCGTCCCGGTATTCGGGAAGTGTATTTGAAGCCTTATTGAAGCCGGCTTCACACTGGCTTCAAATACCGTCCCAGTATTGGGCTATTTGAAGACCAAGTCCTGGGAGGGCCTCCGGCTGGAAAAACCGTCTCAGTCTTGGGGAATCGCATTTGAATTCCAATTGAAGCCGGCTTCGACTTGGGAATCGTATTTGAAGCCCCAAACGCCCGCTCGGGGCAAGCTTGGTGAGCCAATTCGCCTGACAACCAGCCAGGATCCTGCTGCTCATACGTGGTACAGGAAGCAAGATTTGTAAGCAGCTATGGCAGCTATGGCTCACAGTAGCTGCTACAGAACCTGCCAGCAGCCATGCTGGGTCAAGGCCTGAAAGGCCGCGGTCAAAAGCAAAAGAGCATCTCCACACGATCAAGTCCCTTCGGTGCTACCGCTCGGTTTCTCAGGGACTATACTTTCTTTAGGGGACTTGAAGATCGTGATGAGGATGGCAGCTGAGCGGTCGAGTGCCGCCTGGTAACGGCCGTAGGGAACTTCACGCACCAACATCCGCCAAGATCCCTTGCCGTGTTCATCATGAAACAAGGCATAGGAGGTCCGCAAGCTATACTTCTTCGGATCAAAGCGCGGCTCCGGCCTGCGAAAACTCTTGGCGTTGTATGCCACCTGAATGGCGAGGTCGTTCCGACGATGCCACCCCTTCAAGGGAGCTAGGCCTTGAAGGAACCCCATCATGGGATCAGTTCCGGCCACGGCTTCCCCACTCAGTACAGGAGGTCCTCGCTGGGCCTTCGTGACCTTCTTCACAGTCTGCTTCACGTACTCGGGGTCGAAGCGGTAGCTCCACTCGCCGGCGCCCAGGATGCGACGCATATGTTCTCCGTCCATCTCCTTTGTGCCGCAGTCCACAAACATATTCTCGGTGGCCGTCCATTTCAAATGGACCGAGTCCTTCGATAGCATTCCACGAAGCCATGCCACCGTGAAAGCCAATGACTTCTGGCTTCCGTACGACGGGGTGTCGCTGTTCCCTTTGTCAAAGACATCCTTTGCGTCCGTGACCACGACCATCTCAATAGTGTCCAGGATGCAGTCGACGTCCTTGTGCCCCAGGTCGTACCCCACAGTCTCCGCCAGGTGTCCACGACAGTACTGGCCCACGTCTGTGGCCCCGAGCAGTTCAGCTCCGAAGGTGGAGCGACACACCCTTTGAAGTCGGTGGCTGCGGTGGTCAAGCACGACGAAGCGACCTTTGCCACCGTCCAGGAGGACCTTCTCGGCCAGGAGCACGCAGTAACACGACTGGCAGACGACTGGCTGTAGATGCGCTCAAGCGGGAGCTCCCCAGCTGCGCCAGCTTTTGTCACGTTGCCCAACGAAGCGTCACTGACAACGACGATCCCAGCCTTCTCCAAGTTGAGGGGCCGGAACCGGAGACAAAAGTCGCTGTTCTCCTTGAAGAGCTTCACCAGCGTGTTCGCCTTCAGCAACGTCTGCACAGTCAGGCCCTCGGCTTGCAAGGTGGACAAGCTGAAGCCTAAGTCAAACCTGCACTGCGCAACCAACCACTGGAGGGAGCCCGAAGTTGCTTCTGCTCACCCGGAGTGAGCCCAGCGTCTAGGTCACGGCGCCTCGCAGCCGACACCCAGATGGGCGCCAGATTCTCGTGGTGCTCCTTCATGGCCACCGTCACCTCTCCGGTCTCGGTGTCTTGCGTCACAGTCTTCCGAGCATGCCAATCAACTTTGGTGCAGTGTCCTTGCTCCAAAGGAAGAACGTAGCCGAAGTTTTCCAGCTCCGTGCAACAATAGGAAACAGTTGCGAGGAGCGTCACTGAGTCCTAAGACGCCAGAGGGGGGCCAGGGGGGGTCAGGGGGGTCAGGGGGAGCCAGGTGGGGCCAGGGGGGGCCAGGGGGGGGCCAGGAAGGACAGCCTAGCAAACACAGAAAACAAGGGTCGCTGGAATCTGCCAGCTGGGGGGCCCCCTGAACCGGCCTCTGGGGCTTCATTCCAAATGGAAAAACACCGTGCGCGAATGTGGGCGCCCTACGGGCTGAATTCGACCACTCTCCAATGGCTCCACCCATCGTCCATCCAGAGTTGGTGTCAATCACTGCCGGATTTCCTTCTGGGTCCAGGCACCCTAAGAAAAAGGGTGGGTACGGCCTAAGAAGGCCTGGGTGGGAATTTAAGGTTTTAGGGTTTAGGGTTTAGGGTTTGCTGCAAGATCGCGTAGCGGTAGTGTAACAAGGATTCTAAAATTCATTAGCGGTTTTGTTGCCTGCGAATCGCAGCCATGGCCCGACTGTGGCGGGCCATCACCTAACTCACCCACCCCACGCCGTCTGAGGCGGCAAACCACCCAAACCTATACCTTCTAGCGTTTAGGACCTAAACAATTCTGCAGCCAAGCTTCTGCTCCGAAAAGGCAGGGCAGAGTAGGGCAGAGTACGGTAAGGGCCGGCGGAGCCAGGGGGGCCCAGGAGGGGCTAGGGCCAGTGCAACACAAGAGTGTGAAGAGGGGGTCAGGGCAGGGGTGAGTACCCTGGCTGTGGGACGGCGGGCGAGCGTGCTGGATCGACCTGCGCCATCGATGTCGAGGGGCTTAAGCGCCGCCCACCATCGAAGGTGGGCGGCCTAGGCCATGAGTTTAGGATTTAGGGTTTAGGGTTTTGCAGATATGTCATGACAACATGTCACTGCGGGCTGCCAATCGTCTCAAGGGAAGGCTACGAGACATGACCCTTGGGCTATCACATGTTCCGGTCGATGAGGCAACAATGCAGCGCACTTGTACAATAATGCTGTAGAGCAACTCATCATGGACCTTTTGGAACAACAGCTGTACAGCATCAGAGTTGACATTCACAGATTATGTGCTGTTTGCGTAAAACCAATTCGAGACAGCGTGTGTGCGGGCCATGCGTTTGAAGTCATAGGTGCTGCCAGCTGTGTGGAGTGATGTCAGGGCAAGCTCTAAGCTCTGATGAGGCGCAAGCCTCTTTGCAGGTTATGACCGCCCAATCTGCTCCATTGCGTATGGTGAATGGAACAGGTGCAACAGAAAGTGATCTCCGGGGCGAAGCAACGCACGGAGGTGGAGTCCAATCGCTTGATGTGGCGGGCTTAACTCGGATTGCTGGCGAAGAAGCCCTACCGGAGGCCCCAAGGGCGAGAGAGCCCATGGAGCCGGCAGCGCAGCAATCGAGGGATGCACCCTCGAGTTCCCCTGGAGGTCCCGTGGGAGCACCCACGCAGCAGCGGGCCAGGCAAGACGCGTTTCTGGAGATTGCTGATGTGGGCTCTGCACGTACTTCTGGGATAGTAGCTCGGGGACAGGACGTGGTCTCGTCTCATCAAGGATTTCTGACCCCGCGGCCAACTACAACTGCGGGACCAGGAACAACCTGGTTATCTGGAGTCGAAGTGCCAAGGTGGGTTACGCGCCTCGGCTCATACTTGAGCATTGGAGCTCAAGGAGATCCTCTTCTTCCGAGCCCGCTTGCTGGCTCGGGAACCTATGGGTCTCCACCGGGAGGTCACGCGTTCACTTTGAGATCACCTGGCAGGAGAGAGCGCATTCCAAGGCCTCCTACACCCTCCTCTTCGTCGATCCCAGCCGAGGCCATTCAGATGGAGGTTCAACGACAACTTGGATCCATCCTAGGACGGCTACAGGCGGCAGAGCAAGAGAATGATCGCTTGAGGGATGACTTAGAGCGGGGAAGTGGGACAGTGAGTCAACAGCCTACAATGCCCCCTATGCTACCTACGACTGCATCCACGCTACGACCCGAGCTACTACCTCCTGTGATTTCATCTATTTCTGAGGAGCAGCGACCCGGGGTCCTGCGTGAAGGATTTCAGCAATCATGTCCGTCACCGCCGACGGCGCCTACTACCACTGGGGGGTTTGGGAGTAATGTACCGATATTTGGGGGACCAGCTCCGCTACCAGAACCTTCTAGAGGGCTATGGGGTGATCTCCTTTCAGCTCCATCGGGTCCTGGCCTACTCCAAGGTGATCCACCTTCGACGACGGCACCTACCTCAATGCACGGGTTACCGCAGCCACCACCTCAGCCGCCACAGACTACCGGGGAAGGTTTCCTGAGGGGATGGCTAGGGCCTAGGGGAAGAAGTACCTCACCTCCGCCACCTCAACGTCCACAACAGCCTGGATCTCCTGTTATCGATGCCCTTACCAAGAGCATACAGCAATTGCAAGAACTGCAGGCCCAGGCGATGGCGAAGAACTCCACCCCACAGTCTGCAGACCAGGTCAAGCCGGGCACGTTGGCCTTGGCTCCGCTACCAGATCCTCGAGGCGGGTGTGAAGCAGCGCTACAGTTTCAGGACTGGATGGAGGTTGCGGGCTCTGTTTTGTCTGACGTTTCGGAGCTAAGCGGTCAATGGTGGAAGGAGGTTGTGTCCAATGTTGAGACTACATACTCCCGATGGCTAGCAGCTACTCCACTGGAGAGATTGAGTATAACACCGGTGGGTTCGGATGAGCTCACAAATGGGAGATGGACCAGGCTGAACGCAAGGGTGTCTTCGATGCTGCTTACGGCAATGGGCGAGAGTCTTCGATCAGATATGGTGGCCCAGCGCCTGACACAGGACACGGTTCGGATGGTCTTCAGGCTCCACACAACCTTCGAACCAGGAGGCTCAGCGGAGAGACATGATGTACTGAGGAGATTGCAGGCGCCAAGCGAGTTCGTTGCCACGGAGAGTCTGGAGGACACTTTGAAGGCCATTCGATCATGGCCCAGGTGGCTGGCACGATGCAAGGCAGTCAACATGAACCCGCCAGACGCATCGGTACTGGCCCGAGGCTTGATGGCGATGTCTTCCAAGCACATCAATGGGTCGCCTGACGCCGCGTTCCGCACCAGTATGTTACGGACCTCTCTACGACTAGACGGCCAACCGTCCCTGGAACAGGTCTCAGCTTATCAGCGGCATCTACAAGCAGAGCTGGAAACTATGGCGAGCGCGGCGAGTTCTACCACCCAGGCACTACCGGGACTACGAGCTATCGAGAAGGCGACCTCACCGAAGGGACCCAAGGAGAAGGGATCAGGGGCTCCGACGGACCTTTGCCGGTACTTCCTCAAGCCGTCAGGTTGTAAAAGGGGTTCCCGTTGCACATACTCACACTCCATGGCCTCCCTCGACAAGGAAACCCGAAGTCGTAAATGTCTTCAGTGTGGGGCAGAAGGTCATCGACAGAAGGACTGTCCAGTGGCTAAGGGTGGCCCACGATCTACCACTCCGGCGTCACCAACTGGAAAGGGCCAGCGACCACCGGGAACAGAGGCCCCAACAGTCTCAACTATGACCCCATGCTCCACTCCGGCTTCTACGTTGATGAGCTCTACGGCAACGGTGGCAGGAACGCCATGGACCTTAGAAGCATTGGTGCAAGCCGCGCAGCAGGTTGTCCAGCCTCAGGGAAGTGAAAGCCGTGAAGACCGGAGTCCAGAGAAGGTTAAGCCAGAAGTGAGGACGCTGGTTGTGAAGGATATCAAGATCTCCTCCTTGGGGCTTCCGTCATCGGCCCTTCTGGACTCAGGCGCTACACACAGCCTCCGCAATGCCTACAACCAGGACGAATGGAGAAATGCGGAAGATGTGGTGGTGCAGCTTGCAGGGCAAAACAAGCTCACGATGAAGCTGTCGAAGGGCGGCACTCTGCTGATGCCTCCCAGGGCGGAAAGGATGTCTTCTTCCTCAGCCGAGGCAGCGGGCGGAGGTACAATCGTCTCAATGGGCGAACTAGTGAGCACGCTGGGATACACCTTGGTGCGGGGGCCTGACCAGTGTCTGTTGAGGACATCGGAAGGTGAGAACATCCCGCTGGCCACCCAAGGTGGATGCCCGCACCTTTGCGAAGCGGAAGCTTTGGCACTGATAGCCAGATTGGAGGACCGGAAGCTCGAGCGGTTGGAGAATGAAGCGGCTACTACAATGGACCGCGTGGAGATGGCCGCCATGCAGATGGATCGCAGCTGGTTTGAGTCACTCCAGGAGTATGTCGAGGGTGATTCAGTGGAAGCGGGCGTGCGCAGTCTGAGGGACGCAGAGTTTCTACGGTTGGTTCCAGGAGATTGTCTCGACGGGCTTATCCAAGGAGGTCTTCGACAGCAAGGTTGGCCTGTCATGAGGAATGTTCACTTCCTCACAAGGCCCCAGAGGAGATATCTCTGGAACGCGTGCTGGGGCGGAGGGGCACTACCAGATGTTCCACCTCGATGATAATGGCACGGCCGTGATTGAGATCGACCTGCAGCGATGTCGAGGCCATGATCTCATGGATCCTTCGGTATGGAGCATGTTATGTTGGGGTGCCATCAATGGAAAGATAGATGGAGTTCTCGGAGGACCCCCAGGCCGAAGTGGTGTGAGAGACCGAGCACTACATGAAGGCGAAGGTGGGAGTAAGAACTTGAAGCTCATAACTCGGATGTTGTGGTTGTATGCAATGGCAAGCGCGGCACGGAAGTGTACTATGTCAGGGAGCAACCGCAACCGGCCAGTCGCTCTGATGATCGAACATCCGGCAGAAGATGTATGTCGGGGCGAATCGCTGTGGACAACACCGATGTGGAGAGCCTTTGAGGAGGAGATGGGCATGAGCAAACTCACCTTCAACCAGGCGGCGATGGGAGGCGAAGGCGTGAAGACCACGGTGGGCACCAACGTCTACTACTTGATGGGTTGGGACCAAGTGGGCCTGGAAGATGAGGCAGAGAACACAGCAATGGAGGGATCCAGTGGAGTATGGAGTCCAGGCTTTGTGAGCGCACTGGTGTTGGCAATGAAGTTTTGGGCGAGATCCCCAAGGTGCTGTCCTACGGTCTCTAAGTTGAGTGCAGAGCAATGGGAGAGGCACGTTCGATCAAATCATGCGGACTACCAGAAGGATTGCTTGACCTGCGTTATGGGCCGGGGCACAGGACGTCGACATGCTCGAGTTCGGCATCCTGACATGTTCGCCTTGACGGTGGATGTTGCTGGACCAGTGAAGCCGGGACTTGATGTTTCTTCGAAGGGGACGATGGGAAAGGGGTTGCGCTACATGATGGTGGCCAAGTACGTGTTCCCCAGGGAGTATGTCAAGGGCTACACCGGTTGCGATCCTCCGGAGGACCATGGCCTTGAGAAGGAATATCAGCAGCACCCTAGCAATGTTCCAGCAGAGCCTCAGCTTGACCAGGAAATCGCAGGACCTTCTCTACCACAACCGCTTGATGGAGGGTGTGATCAACAGCAACCTAGCAATGTTCCAGCAGAGCCTCAGCTTGACCAGGAAATCGCAGGACCTTCTCTACCACAACCGCTTGATGGAGGGTGTGATCAACAGCAACCTAGCAATGTTCCAGCAGAGCCTCAGCTTGACAAGGAAATCGCAGGACCTTCTCTACCACAACCGCACGACGGAGGGGGTACACAACAGCGACCAGTCAATGCTCCAGTAGAGCCACAGCCCAACGAGGAAATCGCAGGACCTTCTCTACCACAACCGCTCGATGGAGGGGATCCGTTTAGTATTGATGAGTTGGAGTCAGGGTTCCAAGAGTCGTCTCTCCCGATAGACGATTTACAGCATTTCTCAGGTGCGGTACCCGATCCGGAAGAAGATGATCGTGAAGCCACACAGGGTCTGCTGGGGGGTTCTAGGAGGCAACAGCGGGAGTTTGTAGACTACGAAGACTCGTTGTACGAACCGTCTCTACCAGATCAGCCGGAGGAGGACGATGAGCCAGGTGATGGGGAAGATCCACATGCACCACAACCGCGCGCAGTGATTCAGGACTGTGAGGCACCAGAGTCGACCTACTTGTTGTTTGCAAGACCACTGCCTACCAATGGTTCCAGTATAGTCAAAGGCGCTATCCAGGATGTGATCCTTTATCTACAGTCACGCGGGCTACCTGTATGTCGGCTTCATTCGGACAAGGGGGAGGTCTACTGCCACAGCATCCGGACATGGTTGCGAGATCAAGGCATAAGGGCTACCTTCTCCGAGCCCGGCATTCCGCAGGGCAATGGGGCAGCAGAGTCGGCTGTCCGATGGCTAAAGGACAAGGCCCTCACATTGCTAATTGGAGCGAGGCTGCCAACAAGGCTATGGCCTACTGCGGTAGAGGCAGCGGCGGCAATGCAGAGATCCAGAGTCCTAGGAGGACAAAGTCGACTACTTGCTCCCTATGGTGCGACAGTCTACCTCAAGCAGAAGGCGTTTGACTCCTCGGGTCCTAGACGTCGTGAACGAGCGTTTGAGACGAAGTGGATCAAGGGACAATATGTCGGGCTTAGCAACATCCTTGACAGAGGCCACGTGGTGTTCATTCCGGCATCCGAAGGGCGTGGTGAAAGGTTCTTGCACACGTTTCATGTGAGAGCTGGACTTGTTGACCCAGGAGGACCTGATGGAAGCCACCTAGAACCAACACCGCCGAAGCCCAGGAGGAGACTGCCTGAGAAAACCCCTATGGAAGATGTGGAGTTGAGGTCGTTGTCGCTGTCCCCTGAGGATTTGGTGGAGTACATCAAGGACCGGTCAAGGGTGCTTCTTGATGATTGGAGTCAACCGGATTGCATCAAACTGGTTGAGGAACTGAGCGAGTATGGCTTCTTCGATGACTTGAAGTTCGGGGTGTTTCGTCATGGAGGATCGGTTGGTTGGTTAAAGAACTTCAAGGAGTTCCCGGAGCTAGCCAAGGTCCTATCACGCATCATCCTTCACGACCATCCGGAGGCAACGTTCACAGCTATAATGGTGGCTCGTGGCAACGAAAAGGGGATGCATAGGGACTTCAATAATGACAGTCAGGCGGTGAACTATGTCATGCCGATCACGGTGCCGAAGAAGGGAGGCGAGCTTTGGGTTGAGTTGGGACCTGGAGATAAAGTTTCTGGGGCCGTGATAGAGCGCCGGGACGAAAAGGACCGACCAAGGTATGGACAAGTTCTACCACTCAGTCGAGGCCATTGCAATGTGTTTTCACCCAGAAGACTCCATGAAGTTCTACCTTGGGAAGGAAGTAGAGTGGTTCTGATTGCCTACACGCCACAAGGGCTTGGAAAGGTCACCGGGGAAATGATCCATGAGCTTGAGGAGTTCGGGTTTGCACCACCCCTGACCCAGTACCCGGAGTATTTCCTGCTGAATCAGGAGGAGCTGGACAAGGAAGTGAACGTGATGAAGGTTGGCAATCACCCCCAGGAGGAGATCAAGGCGAGCAGTGATGACCAGATCGAGGACTCGGATGTGGAGGACTGGGAGATGTTCTTGGACACCGATGGGGGCAAGGTCAAGATTGGGAGCTCAGAGTATCCTCCTAAAGAAGAGTTTCCAGTGGGCATGAGAAAAGTCGAGGTGACCTACACAAAGGACGTCGAGAACATCATTGCGAACCTCAAGGGACCATTGGCAGTAACGTATACGGCCGACCCAAAGGAGGTGTATGAGCACTTGGACAAGTGGGCCCAAGCCATCTGCAAGGAAGTTGATGGCGTAAGCGTGGCAATCAGAAGGTTGTTACCACAGTCTGAAGAAAGTGCAGAATGGTTCCGAAGACCTGGTGCTCAACGACTTCCAGCCAAGATGGTTTTCACCATCAAGCCGGGGGACCACCCCCAGCCGGACAAGCCGGAGACATGGTACAAGCGCAAGGCACGGCTTGTGGTTTGCGGAAACTTTGCTTCAGGCTCAGAAGAGGATCTCTATTCCGAGACCGCTCCTTCGGAAGCGGTGAGGGGGGGATTGACGATGACTCGCAAGCAGTGGTCAGTGGGCCTGATAGACATCATGCAGGCCTTCCTTCGGACCCCGCTTGATCCCGCAGCTGGTGATCCAACTAATATTGCGAGACTGGTCTCATTTTGCCTTCGCCGGCTTGACTCAAAAGGGCCCTCTGCGGTAGAGGGACACGTCTCTGCAAGGCTGCTCTCAAGGTGCACACACTCTATACACGCACCTAAACTAGCACTTTATCACACCCGTGACTCTTCTGGTGTTAGAGTGTGACAAAAGAGTGAGACGTAAGGATCGGTACTCAGCCGTCCTCTTTAGGATCCGCTTCAGCTGGATTCCCTTTCCTTCTCTGGAGTTGCTTAGCTCGTTTCTTCACGATGCTATCTATTGGCTGCTTAACGTCCAGCTCATTCGTCTCCATGACGTGAACCAGTTTGGTTGGCTCCATCACCTTAGTGAGTGGATCGGCCACCATTACGTCCGTATCTATCCAACGTACCGTGTCTGTGAGGGACTCGTCGCTCGGACGGTAGTCTTCTTCGTACGGATCGCCAGCCTTTTCACCTTTCTTCCTCCAGAGGTCCTGTCTCAAGGACGCTATCTCTATAGAGAGACGTTTGTCCGAGTGTTTGGAACACTTCGGATTCATCAGTGTCTCCTCCAGAGATTTGCAGTCTGTTAACCAGATCTGCTTCATGAACTTCGCGGCTGAAGCTTCCCATCTCTTGAGGTCCAGTACCCCAAACAGGTCAGCCACTGCTGCGCGAATCACGTCTCCGTCTTCCACACCTGCCTGTAAGGTGTAGGCCTCCGCCTGGATGGTGCTTCTGCACACCCTCCGAACTATGTTCGAAGCCCAAGCTATTGGATGCACGCTTCCCTTGTCTTGGTCCCAAAGGGATGGTGTGGCAACGAAGATCATCCTCGCACCTTGGCTCCTGTGGTGCTCCACAGACACTGAGCCATTCACCAAGAGCTCTTCCTCCTCGTTGGCGTGCGAGGCGTCTGTGATCACTAAACTCATCAGACCGCCGGGCTTACTCCAGTCCAGTAACCCAGATCTGAAAGTAATACCCCTCTCATAGGTCTTGACCGCATACTCCACGGTCTTGTTCGCCTCCTTGATGTCAGCAACAGTTCCACTGTTTGAAGCTGACTGGATACGCGAAACCCTATACGAGAGGTCTGGCCGACACTGTCGGCACACCCAAGCAAGTGAGCCTGCCACAGACTTCATCTGCGTCCTGTCGGAGTCCGTTAAGGGATCTCCGGGGCGACGGCGCGGTGCTATCGGAATCTTCTTGATCGTCCTCGTAGTGTCACCGCAGGTAATGTGGATGTTGTAGTCTTCATCTTGCTTCACCTCTTTACCACAATACCTAAAGCTGTCGCTTTCGACGGTTCCGCATTTGAACTCGTCGATGATCTCCTTTATGATCCAGTCGCAAGACTGGTCACACGCCCACAATAGGTCGTCTACGTGGGACGTAAGGAGCATCTGTACAACTCCCTTCTCGTCCGTGTAGCTGTACAAAGCGCGCATGATCCTGTTCTCCCGAAGACCTTTGTTCTTCAGGAACGTTCTCAAACGTTTCCAGAATCTCCGCCCGCCATCCGTTGACCCATAAATTGGGGCTCTAGCTAACATGTGATCACCGGGCTTTAGCCCTGGTAATCCGCCCTTAGGCTGTGATAGCAGGAGTACCCTGTCTATCGCCTCGCCTTGAAAGTAGGCGTTAGTGACGTCCAGCGTCTTCACTTTGAGACGTCTCGAGGCAGCGAACGAGAACACGAGGTTCTGCGCCTCTATGCTAGCCGTAGGGCTGTCTGACCTTGGGTCTCCTTGCTCGAGATCCCCACGCACTACAAGTCGAGACTTGTACTTGGCCTCCACATGTGGGGTCCGCCAAACGCTGCGCGTGGTGCTTGTCGACCTCGACCCATTGCGTTGGAATAATCTGATGTCCTTCACGTATAAGCTCTTCCAACTGGTTCTTGTCGATTACGACTGCGGCGCTAAACTCCTTCCACTTGTTCCACTCTTTCTCCCTTGTCTTGTCAAGCTCTGCTTGAACCTCAGGAGAACACTTGGCGTAAACCAGAAGCTTTCCGTTCTTCTCTTTCTGCTTCTTGCCAGTGTAGTTCTTGCGCCTTTTCTTCCACGTGTTGATAGTGGGCTGGTCCCATCTATCTGCAAGGAAAACACGTAGCTCCTCATACTCCTTCTCTCCTGGCAGGCTATCCCAAATAGCTGCTTCCTTGTAACTCCAAAAGTGGCTCGCGTAAGCACGTATGCTCGCGTGAAGAGAAGTGTCAGAGCCTCCCGTGTCTATGCTTGACTCCATCGTAGCCTCAGCTATCGATTCCTGCGCTTCCTGGTCCACTGCAGGGACCAGCTCTGCGTCGGGAGCTTCGGTCTCCTCGACCTCAGGCTCCTCAACAGTCTCTAGGGTCACGGCCCGTGACTCTTCACGTGGGCCTACCCTTCTCCTGACTGCACGCTCTGTCGCAGGTAGAGTCGCCGCCGGTATCGTTATACTCGGCTCTCCTGCGGTATCGCCTGCCTCAAGATCACCCGTCGGGATGTCTTCTGTGGCATCAACGTACCTTCTCTGCTCACGCTCGGCATCTGCATGCTCGAAGCGTATGTTACCACGGTTTAAAACCTGGTACGCTAAAACCTCAGCCGCCGTACACGGTCTGAGCCTCCCAAGGCTGGTCGCTACAGGCACGCCCTGGTGTACCACCCACACCGTTTTGCCGTCGAAGTCTATAACTTTCGCGACCGTAGACCAGGAGGGAACGCCATGGTGCTCCTCCCGGGAGATTCGGTAGCATACCAAATCCCCAGCTTGATATCTGCCCGGGAGTGGTGCCGCCTTCCGAAGAATGGCGGACCGCACCCTCCTCGAACAATCCTGCTTGACGAATGCTTTCCGGGCGGTATGGCGGAACTCCGCCCTTCTACCGAAAGCTGTCGTCGGATCCATCCGAGCTGAGAGTACGCCGAGTTGGCCTAACTCGTCTTCGTCCAAAACGTGGCCAACTCCCCTAGGCAGTCTGCCTAGGACCCACTGGACAAGCGCAAAGCCGCCTACCCTTAGGAACTCGTTCTTAGAGACTTGCCCTTCAAGCATAGCCTCTTTCACTTCCGTCTTTCCCGCCAGGTTGTGCTGTCGGACAATCCTGCGGAAGGCCCTCTTAAGGATCCCCCCGTGCCTTTCACATCTTCCGATGTGTTCTGGACTTTCTAGCCCGGCCTGACGTATCAATACGCCATGGGCAGCAAGTCCATAGGCGAATGCCCCTCGGTTGTGTAATCCCCTATCATGGGTGATTACTTTTGGCCAGCCGAACGGGGAAGCCCAGTACTTCATGAACTTCTGAAGGCACTTAGCGAAACTGGGTTGTCCTCCCCCAACACGGACAAGTGCTACCACTTGGTAACAAGTTCCATTGTCCACGATGTTGAGCCAGCTGTACTTCTCACCAACGCTGTCTGACGTCTCAAAGACGTCCACGGAAACCGTGTGGTTGAACTCGTAGGGCGGTGGTGCGTTGACGGGATGAGTGCGAACTGATTCGTCACTCACGCGGCAGGTTTCACATCTGAATACCTTCGCTGCGTTTATGAGCTCCTCTGAAGCTCCGGCTCCCCTCAACACCTGAATCATAACCTCTTTAGGCTTATGACTCATCATGTTGTGAAGCCTTCTGATACCCAGCCTTACTCGCCGTGGTACCTTTGCCCACTCCCTGCGCCTCTCGCTTTCCTCTTTAGGAAAACCCGCAAGTGGGAGTGTGTCAAGGAAGTCGGCCTCTGCTGCGGCCTCTTCTTCGTCCATGAAGCTGGTCCTATTGTCACGCTGATCTACGACCGCGTCCATAGTACCTGCTTCTTCGACTTCCTCCTGCCTAGCTTCCACAGGAAAAGCACTTGCTACGTTTTCTTCAACACAAACTTCAAGCAAGGCTGCTACCACACACTCAGCGAAACCCTCGTGGTCACCTACCGTGTCCACGCTAACTGGTGAGTAGTAGACACTGTGGTCGTTGTCGGCCCAGTCTACTAAAACTTCTCCTAGCGCCTGCGAGGTAGTGCCTATACCTAGGTCACCTCTACCAAAGTAGACCTGAACCTCTCTCTCACCTTCTTCTAAGCAGCTACTCGCCTCTAAGTACTTCCACCTCACACTGCTCACGCTGTCAAGCACAAGCACTTCTTTTGCAGCGCAGGCGGCGAAGCCGTCCAAGAAGCTCTGGGCTGCGGGTGAGAGCTCTGTACAGTCCTCCAGCCCTTCGTACACCAGAAGGAGGAGGTCCGGCTGTACCTTAGCAATCTCCTTAGAGATTTGCTTTGTCCATCCGATGTCCTCTAAAAGGATCATCTTGTGCCCAGGATGGCGTACCATCACTGTGGCTCCGGTCCTCTCAAGGGATCCGGGCTGAAAGCTGCTGTTCGCGAGCACGTAGATCTTCAGGTCGCTGTGGTCACCTGTGCTCTGCAGACCGAGTGCTCTGAACAGCATCTCGTCGTGAGTCCCGAGATTCTTTGAGGAATCCTCGAAGGACTTCGCCAAGCTGGTCGGCATGACCTTCAGCTTGGAACCCGACAGGTCCGGGAGGCCGGCCGGGCGCTTGTCCCAGCTGTTCCTTGGGTACCTGCGGAACGAGACCCTAACGGCGCTGGTGGGGCCGCGCCTATTTTGGAGCCACGCCTTAAAGGCGCACCCCTTGCCTCCACCCTGGAAGCTCTTGTGGCCGTCCACCACCAAGTGCAAGAAGCGGTCCGTCAGGTGCTGCGGCTTCGAGACGTCCTCGTTCAGGTCCAGGAGGTCCTGCCTGGCCTCGGGGTGGTCCTCCTGCTCGTGCTCTGGCTTCCCTTTCTTGCCCTTCTGGGCTCCTTTTCCTTTCCCTGTCGCCTTTCCCTTGTCGCCGACTCCTTTGCCTTTGTCCGTCGGCGCAGGCTCCCTAGTCGGAGTCAAGAGCCTCCTTCAGCCTCTCCTTCTCGGCCTTGTCGTCCTTGTCGTCGGCCTCCATGTAGGCCAGAGCCTGGTCCAAGGACCGGTTGGCCTTCCAGCCGAGCTCCGTGCGCTTTCCTCCCAGCACGCTGTCTCGCAGGGACTCAAACAGCGATTGGGCCTGCGCCAAGTCCAAGTACTTGGCTGACACCGCTCCCACCAGTGTCCGCAGGTCGAGCTCATACTTCGCGATGAGCTCCGTGACCTTCTCCTGCTTAGGAGGGTCAAACACGGAGTAAATCCTGCTGAGAAACAGGAAGGCTGTCTTTTTGAGCTGGTCGTCGGACATGTCCACCATGCTGCTGCGGAGGTCCCAGCACTTGAAGTCCTGGGCCTTCTTCTTGTCGACGTCCACGCTCTGGTCGGTGCCCTCAGAAGGGTCACCCTTTGGCCTGTCTGTGCTCCCTGAGGAGTCACCTGGCTTGTCTCTGGAACCACTAGAGGGCTCCAGCTTCACCTCGTCCACGGTGATGCCACCAGGCTTCACGGTCACACTGTTGCCGCCTGGCAGTGTGACACCGTTCTCCAGCATCACATCCTTCCAGATCTGCTGGGAAACCCTCACAGCCTCTTCGGCCAGAGGACTGGTCTCTGGGTTGTCCCACTTGCAGTCCTGGCACAGGCCACCGCAAGTGTGACGCCAGTTTGGACCGTCACAGAAGTGATCGATCTCTACGGCCTCGACGTCATACAGGTCGAAAATCGCCCTGTACAACATGTCGCCGTTGGCCACGCTGCGATGCCTTCCGCTCTTGCAGAAGACAAAAACGTAGGCCTCTTCCACCTCGGTCAAGAGCCTGTGCGCTGAGGGAACCACTTCCTTCCACCAGTCGAGCCACTTCGGGTTGGTGGTCATGTGTTGCAGGTTAAGGGGGTAGGTCCCTCAACGATTTATTGGACGCCGGATCTCCGGTCGCCCGGCAGTCCACAAACAGGATCTGCTTCGTGTCCAGCTCCTTGACGAAGGGGAAGTTCTCGCGGAGGGAGGTCAGTAGCTTTTGCTCGTGCTCCTCCGAGTCCAGGGTAAAGTCGTAGCTCTTACCCCGCTGGCTGAAGGTCTGGAAGAGGTCGGTCAGCGCCTTGCTCCTCTTGTAGCTCTTCTTCGAAAACTCCAGCTTCTCCAGACCGAAGGTGTAGAAGTGCACCTTCCTGCACTTGCAGCTGCTTGCCTCCGTCGTGCCTCCAGTCATGTAGGCACTCTGGTCGCCCACTTGATGGGTCGACTCCTCTTGCCCGCCCCTTCCAGGGTCGGCTTTCCCTTCAGGAGCTTGCACGGGCTCCTCGGCCTCAAGGCAAAAGCCCTGTGGTGCCTGTCGGGGTCCTTGCCGAAGCTGCTTATGTTAAGCAGTATGAGGCCGGTCCTCACGTGCCTCGCCACAGGCAACCAGACGTCGGGGTAGTCCTTGAGCGTCACTCGGCCCGCTCTGAGGTCCTTGACCAGCCCGAGCTGCGTCTGGTCCTGCAAGCTAAGGAGGCAGAGAACCTCGTCGTTCTCCAGCTCGCTGGACTCCAGGTCACGGTTCAGGGTGCCTTCTGGCCTCAGTCCCAGCGCAAACGGAAGCTTGTACTTTCCGCTGCACCGGCTAGAGCCTATCCCACGGAAGGCTCCTCCCTCGCTGCTCACCTTCAGGAGCTTCAAGCCGTGTTTGGCGAGGGTGGCCTCCGCGTTCTGCCTCCACTTGCGTCCGTGGCAAGTGGTGTTGCACCCCTCGTCCAACATCACCCAGATGTTGTCGTGGTCCTCTAAGGGATCCACCAGAGGGAGCGTAGGCTCGCTGACCTGCTCTTCGGCATGGTCACTCAGTGCCATGTGTATGTCCCCTGAGGGATCATTACACTCCGTGTGAACGCCCACTGAGGGGTCGTCACTCACTGCTGCGTAGCCACGTCTCTGCGGCGTCCTTCTCGGCGCAGCTGCCGCCGGAGACGCAGCGCCCATGGCCGCCCTCAGTGGCGTCCTAGGCGGGGCCGCGCTTGAGCCAGCAGCGTCGGTGCTCGCGCGTCCTCGCTGCGGGGTGTGAGGGGGCTCTCCGGGAAAACCTACCCCTGCAGCAGACTCTCCCTGTGCCTCTCTACACTCACATCTATGAAGTCCTCTAGCACACTAGACAGCTCTGTAGAGGTTACTGCGTCAACCCTACACAAACGCTTGTCCCAGTACTTGACGAACTTCTTGATGACATCTCCGGCCTCCATCCTAGTGAGCTCTACCTCATCTAGTTGTCTCCTAGTCAAGTCCTGCTGCTTCAAGGACGATGACTTGACTTGTGACGCTAGCTCCTTGCCCATCTTGTGCACTCTCTGTGGAGTCTCCTCCACGATCGTGTCACAGTCAAGGCAGTAAACCTTATGAACGCTTCTTGTGCTGTATCTAAAGTCCACGCGTTCATGCGCGCACTCATGCGTCGCTTTCGTCGGCGTCACCTTTGGTCGTGGCACACTTGTCTTGTGTCCACAGATCATGCACGTGGTTTTCATCACGTGCGCGTTGCTTCCCGCTCTGGAGATAGCACGCTCAGGGCAGCCGCCTCTGCAAGGTTCGTCTGCCTGCTTCATCATGCTAAGCTTCGACTTGGCCTTCCTTCCTGAAAGGATAAGCGACCGTGCCACATCAAGGTCGCAATCCCTATCGGCAACCGGGCGGTCCCTCTGAACGGGTCTGCCCGCACCAGCAGGTGGCACGTCGAAGTTCTTAAACACCCACCTCAGGTAAGCTTCAAGCTGTGGGCTTGGGTTCTTCTCTGACAAGCCCCAGTGGTAGTAGTCTGGGTGTTCTCGAAGACAGTCCATATAGGTCTGCCCTTTGTGCATGCCGAAGTTGAACTTGATGTCGCCCCCCTCTGGGTAGTCGACATAGCTCCATGCAGAGCTTAGGGCACTATCTGCCTCTAGCTCCTCGTCCGACTCCTCAAAGTCGCCGTCGTCGAAGAACCCCATGTAGGCCACGCGGCCCATGTCGTTCGCGACGCTGAGGTAGCCGAACCGTTCGTCGGAGTCGTCGCTGGTGTCCGAGGCTTTTCGGCCCCAGGTGTCCGTCTGGGTACCTTTCTCCTCGGTGCGCACGACCTGCGCGACGAACGCTGCCGATGCGCCTCCTGACGAAGTCGCTTGCTTTCCGGGACACTCCTTGTCTCCGGCCCAATGCCCCCGGCGCCCGCACACTTTGCATGTGCTTTTGCTCTTTATTTCTTGTAACTTCTTGCGCCGGTCCTCCACGCTGAGGTTGCTCGGGCGTGGACGGTAGGAGTGAGCCGATTTTGACGTCGGCTTCCCTTTTCCTTTCGCCTTTGACCTGGCCATAAAAGCCATGGTCTCGGCTTGAGCCGCCTCCGTCAGGAGTGCGATCGACTCTCGGTCTTCCGAGTTGAACCCTTCGGTTCCCAGGAAGGCCGTGAGCACATCCAGCTCGACGTCCCTTAGGGATGCGTCGGCCGTCTGCGCTACCAACGCTGTCTCCTCGCCCCAGTCGGCGTAGCTGTCGTCGCCACCTGGGTAAACCCAGTCATTCTCTTGATCGGCGTCGGCGGCATACGCGTCTGCTGTGTAAGCGTAGTCTTCGCCGTCGTCCTCTGTGGCGTCGAACAACTCCTCTACCGCACTGAGGTAGGAGTACTGCGCACCCTTGTGCGCTTTCCCTTTCTTGCCTTTCCCTGAGTAAGGCTTCCCCTTGCCTTTCCCAAAAGGCGAGGGGTTCTTCTTCTCTAGCAGGTGGATGCGCGAATGCATCTTTATCAAAGCCTTCTCACAGTCCTCGGTCTTCACTGATCCCGCCATTGCGGTGATCACCATTATTCTCTCCTGCCGATTGATCCCTGCATTGTCCAGCAGTAGATCAGTCAGGATGCTTTCGCTGATGGACACTGTCTTGTCCAATTGCTTCATCTTCCTCCACCAGCGGCTCCTTCTCGACAGGTACGAGGTCATTGGCTCACCGGCTTGCCGGCTCAGCATGCCTCCTATTTGAGTACCTAGCCTGTAAAGCTCCTTGCTCTCTTGCTCCTGCAAGGGGAACAGGTTGGTCCTCACCTTCTCTATGACTTTGGGTATATTGTCCTTGGAGCCAAGGACTTCTGCACCCAAGTCTTCCGCGGCAATGTATGCCTCGCCCCTTAAGGAGTCGAGGAACTTGGACGCGAGATCCTTCTTCTCGTCGTCCTTGGTCTGGGTCCACCGAGTCATTGCTCGGAACTCCCACTCGTGAAAGTCTCGGACTGTTCCTCCGTAGACTAAGAAACCAAACTTCGTGAGATCTGTCTCCAAATCTGCATGATGCCTGTAAGCCAGGCTCCCGGAGGCCATGGCTCTAGGCTCGGCCGCGATGGGCCGACGGAGTGGCGCAGGGGCTCTACCGAGCTCTGGACCAGGTGTCCGAGAGCTCCGCTACCAGTGCGAGACTGGTCTCATTTTGCCTTCGCCGGCTTGACTCAAAAGGGCCCTCTGCGGTAGAGGGACACGTCTCTGCAAGGCTGCTCTCAAGGTGCACACACTCTATACACGCACCTAAACTAGCACTTTATCACAAATATCATTGCACCACCACGCGTGTTGGAGAAGCTGTCTTTGATAACGCTGGGTGAGCTATGGGGCCTGGTACGCGCCCTTTACGGGTTGCGCCAGGCACCGGCGTTATGGTCGGCCCACCGGGACCGAGTGTTGCGACAGATGACCTTCAATGGACAGCTTCGACTACGTCAAGGCAGGACAATAACAGCATGGTGGATCCTTAAGAACCAGGCGGGCATGATCATCGCATTGGTCATTATACATGTAGACGACATCTTGTTGCTCGGAGAAGAACCAACCATACGGGGAATAGCTGCAACGATTCAGGAAGTTTGGAAGACGTCAGAACTAACTATATTGGCAGCCAACAGCCCGTTGAGATTCCTCGGCATGGAATTGGAGCTCCAGGCCAACACCGACGTCATCTATGTGAACCAGAGAGGGTATATCGAGGAGATCTTAAGGTCACATGGGGTTCCGGAAGGGCACAAGGATAAGATTCCCCTGGCAAAGGATCAGGCCTCGTTCGACCTGCTGGATGATGATCTACCAGCCACACCGGAGTCGGTGGCAGAAAGTCAGAGGATAACGGGCGAGTTGATGTGGCTGGCCCAGCGCTCAAGGCCAGACTTATCGTTTGTGTGCTCCCTTATGGCTTCTATCACCTTGAAGGCACCGGAGCGATGCCTATTGATTGGTGCAAAGGTGCTCCGCTATCTGCAAGGGACCCGGGACTACCGCATGATGATATCGAACGACGGAACTAACTTGGTCCTCTACCCGGATGCGGCGTTTGCTCCTACAAGCACGAAATCCCACACTGGATGGATGGTGTGCTGGGCTGGGACACCCGTTGGATGGCGAAGCAGTCGCCAGTCCATGATATCCCTATCGACAGCTGAATGCGAGCTACAGGCGATCCTCGACGGAGCCATAGGGATGATCGGATTGGAGGCCTTGCTACTTGACCTCGATGTGGAACCCGGGCCTAAAACGGTCGCGAGTGACAGTACCAGTGCTCTGGCGATTGGTTCCGGGACGGGCTCTTGGAGAACAAGACATTTGAGATTGAAGGCGTCTTGGTTACATGATATGGTCACCAAAGGGGAGATCATTCCTCGCCATTGTCCTGGTATCGTACAACCAGCGGACCTCCTCACCAAGGCTTTAAGTGGGCAAAGGATAGTTGCACTGCTTGAACTTTGGGGTGTGGAAACAGGAGTGAAAACCGTGAAAACACGTACTTCGACGACGGTGGCTACAAGGATGCTTGTTGCGATGGTTTGTTGCATCATGATGCTGGCTGTGGAAGCTAGAGATGATGAGGTATCGCAGGCCATTCGGATTGACTGGGACATGGCGGGCATCTTCATGGTCTTGCTGATGATCTTGGGTGGTTTGGTTTTGTGGGAAGCAGTAAAGTGGGGAATGATGGAAATCTACAGGGAGTGGACGCCTGGAGCCTCAGCGAGGAAGCTCAAGCGTCTGAAGAAGTTGAGAGATGCTACAGCGTTGGCGATTGAGGCGGAGCTGGTCCGGATTGCTGAAAGGGATCGCCCGGTGGGCACAACCCATCGGGAATCTACACCAGCATTACCTGCGAGCATTTCGGATACTCGACAGCCACCGATGCCATCTTCCCCCTTGCAGGAAGCTATGCCGGCGCCACCTTCAACCCCACCTAGAAGACCACCGATGACACCCAGGCCATCCCCGAGTACACCTTATTCTGATGAGGGACCTTCGCAAGATCAAGATGAGATTTCGCGGGTGAGCCACGACGTTCTACTACTGATGAACTGTGAGCAGCTGAAAGAGGGACTAAGGCTGGAGGGATGTTTGGTCTCGGGAATAAAGGAGGATTTGGCCTCCCGACTGGGACGACAGCTCGCAGCCAAAGTGAATCGAGGTGCTCCTACAGTGAGACAGTTAAGATTTCTGCTGTGGTTATGGCGGGACAAAGACCTGTCAGGAAGGGCACAGCTTCAATGGCGAGATCTACAGGATAAGCAGAGTGCATCTGCAGTGATAGCGAGATGGCAGCGTATGTGATGTGAGCGCCGAAGCCTCGCGACGTCGGCGAGGAGGAGTGCAGATATGTCATGACAACATGTCACTGCGGGCTGCCAATCGTCTCAAGGGAAGGCTACGAGACATGACCCTTGGGCTATCACATGTTCCGGTCGATGAGGCAACAATGCAGCGCACTTGTACAATAATGCTGTAGAGCAACTCATCATGGACCTTTTGGAACAACAGCTGTACAGCATCAGAGTTGACATTCACAGATTATGTGCTGTTTGCGTAAAACCAATTCGAGACAGCGTGTGTGCGGGCCATGCGTTTGAAGTCATAGGTGCTGCCAGCTGTGTGGAGTGATGTCAGGGCAAGCTCTAAGCTCTGATGAGGCGCAAGCCTCTTTGCAGGTTTAGGGTTAGGGTTTAGGGTTTGGCCGACCGGTAGGGACGGGCTGTCGCCACGAACTTCCACATTGCGAATGTAGAGCTCCCTTGTCCCTTCCATATACCGCTCGCCCTTCATGAACGCGCTTTTCACATCAGCGCTTCCGGTCCGCCACCCTTCGTGGAACTTGCTCGAGGCGAGCGTGAAAAGGAGGTGCTGACTTGTGCGGCTTGCGGTGGGAGCGTCCTTGCGGAGGTCAAAGGCCGTCACGTCCTTGTAGCCGGGCACCACCAGACGCGCCGATGCCTTGAGAGGAAGATCCTGGGCATCGGTTCTTCGTCCGTCGTTCTTGTCGGTGTAGACGAATCGCGGCGTGAGCACTTTGTGCAATTCGCCCCGTTGCCTCAGCGTCGCCATGACCCTCTCGGACTCCTCTTCGGACAAAGTCTCCACGGCGTCGTTGCGGATCCAGACATCCCAAGCCTCCGGGCCTTTGACAGTCGGCTAGCTCTCCAAGAGCTAGGTCTCGGCATGGCTGCCCCTCCTGATCCAGCGGAGCTAGCAAAAGGCTCCACGGATTTCCGCTATCTTTTGACCCAGAATCGGGTACCGGATACATCCCAGGCGACCTTGTTCAAGGCCGGGATAGACACGATAGCGAAGTTTTCGGCGAGTTTCAAGGACGAAGCCGATCTGAAATCGGGGCTAGTGAAGGACTTCTCGATAGAGCCGGAAAGCAGCCTGGCTAACAGGGCGCTAGCGGCTGCCTTTAAGGTGGCCTGGAGAGCGGCCCAGGCTCGGACCCGCGAGCAAGCGGACAGAGAAGCGGCTAGCGAAGTCCGGGAATGGGCTGAGCTCATCCCCCAAACTGAGTACATGGCTATGCGCCAGTGTTTTGCTCAGAAGTTTGGCGAGCCCGAGGATAAGCATATTCCGGCGAAGGAATACATTGAGCGAAAGCTGCACGAGCTAGAGACGGGCGAGTTCAGGGCTGAGCCCCTGAACGAGGTGCTATCCAGAGACGAGATAGACCCGGATGTGCTGGTGGCACCGCCCTTATGCTCAAGAAGGCTACCTCGAAAGGGGCTATGCCATCAGGCCCGGAGCAGCTTCGGCTCAGGCTAACGGTGATGCAGAATGCCCTCTTGATGATAGGCTTGCAGCACCCAGGGCGATCGGAGCTAAAGGATATCGACTTTCAGCTCTTCGAGAAGTATAAGGACTATCTGCTCGGCGATTTCTGCTATGGGCTACGCTCCAACGAGGCTAGCGGATCCTTGGCTCCCCCATGGACCCTGGTGCTATCCTACGAGAATGCTATCCGGAAGCAGACGTACAAGCAGATGGTCTTGAAGGGGATAGGCTTCGCCGACGCGCTAGTCCAATCCTGGAAGGATGCGGCTACTAAGGAGCGCCATTTCACGACCCCGCTAGCGCTCTGCGCCAAGAGGCCGCAACCCTGGTCGTGGGATAACAACCAGCCGGATAAGCCCAACAAGAAGGGCAAAGGCAGAGGCAAGGGCAAGAACGGCAAGGATAGCAACAAGAAGGCGAAGACTGGCACCTTCAACCGCACCGAGGATAATAAGCCGATTTGTTTTCGGTTTAATTTGAAAGGTGGCTGTAAGAAAGGGGATAAGTGCCACTTCGTGCATGTTTGCACGAAGTGTCGGGGCGAGCACTCGGCCATCAACTGCCCGGGCGCGGCTACCCCATCCACGGCGGCTAACTGACTTCCTGCGCCACCGACGGCGACTCCACCTTCGGCTACCCCGGCTCCGCCTCTTACAAGCCGCCGGCTACAAGTCTTGTACCTCTTTTCGGGCCGGGAGAGACCGGGAAGCTTCCAGTGGCATCTACGACGGCTAGCTTCCACTTTCGGCGTCGATGTGGATATATGCTGCGTAATGTTGACCCCTGATTAATAAACCCCCCCCCCGCCCCCCCCCCCCTCAAGGTTGTCAAGGTCGCAGGCCCCCCACAGGATCACAGACCCCCAAATAATCCCGTGAAGTCAAATTGCAGTAAACAGTGGTGCTAGTAGTAGTAGTCGTAGTAGCAGCAGTAGTAGCAGTGGCAGTAGCAGTAGCAGTAGCATTAGCAGTAGCAGTCCCTTTAAATGTAGTCTTGCCCCCTTTAAAAGTAGTCTTCGAAGCACTTTTTGAAATTTTAGATCCCCAGACGGTGTTGCCTTTAATCGTGGGGGGTTTTCTACAAAAAACGATCCTTATTTGGGTGCTGCCTTTAAAGTAGTACAGATTGGGGCCGGAGCCGCCCGCAGGCCGCCTTTAATCGTAGGGGGATTATTAATCCTAGGTCAACATTAGATCTGGCGAGAAGTCCATCGACTGACTTGGCTACCTCCAAGGCGAGATCCAAATATCGCACTATGGTCCAGTCGGGCTCCTATGACATCGTGGCTATGTCCCCACCGGTGGCGACCTTCTCACGGGCTACCGCTCACCGCAAAGGCCCCCGGCCCGTCCGCAGCTTCGGCGAGCCACGCGGTCTGGCTAAGCTCACCTCAAAGGAGAGAGACCGGGCTATCCTTGGCAACATTTTTGCTGATTTTTCTTTTGAAGTAGCTAAAGCGGCCCTCGCCTCGGCTACCTTCTTCGTCTTGGAGCAACCAGAAGATCTTGGGGCTATGCCGGCGGGACCCCACCAGGGGCAACGCCCGGCTAGCATGTGGCACTGGCCGGCTCACACACAGCTCACCAGCCTGGGGCTACGTTCTGTGGCATGGCTGTTGCTCAAGACTCCGTTGAAGATGCCGGCTACGGTGCACGAAGGCCTCCCTTCTTTTGACGACACAGGCGGCTACTTGGGGCCGCTCCCGCCTTCGACTGCACCCGCGGCTACTCAAAGCCCCATGCTGGCTAAGGCTGCTCTGGGCGAATGGCCTTCCGACTTCGCTCGTTGGCTAGCGCAACTCGCGCTACCTGCACGGCCACTGCTGCGACTGCCTCCGGAGAAGGGGAACAACCGTTGCAGGATACAGTGGATTCCACAGACCTGGGCTACGTCACGAACCAACCAGAGGGTCCTCGGCTACACGGTGGCCAGGGACCTCCGAGGCGCTGTTACCAGAACGATGGGATAAAGGAGTTCCACGATGGTGGCGGGCTATGCTCTGGCCGAGGCATGCTCGTGGCCACGCCGAGGGAGAGTCTTGGAACTGGCTACGAGCTAAGATCCGGGAGATCGTGGTCCGGCGAGCGGGCTCAGAACAGGAGCTGGAGAAGGAGGCCTTCCGTATGGCTATGGGGGGCGACTTGCGCTGGATGATGATGCCTTGTCTCCATGGTGGATTTCCAAACTGAGCATCCACCTTCAAGAACACCAGCTGGCCGGGCTTTGCACCCTTCATGTCAGACGGGATTCACCAGTCCATGGCGCACCGAGCGACTTTCTTCTTTACACCTCAGCTGGAAAGGAGCCTGAAGGTTTCGTCGTCCGGACATGATGCTATACTTGGGCTATGAGAGTAAATCAGAAAATCGGTTGCGCTCGGACCCACACAATGTGTAAACTCTGTGTGTCTTGGCCAAAAAACATGTGGAAACATCGTTGTGTTCAGCCCCAAATGGTGTGGAAACTCTGTGTTTTCTCGGCCCAAAAACATGTGGAAACACTGCTGTGTTCGGCCCCAAACAGTGTGGAAACTCTGTCTTTCTTGGTCCGAAAACATGTGGAAACATCGTTGTGTTCGGCCCCAAATGGTGTGGAAACTCTGTGTTTTCTTGGCCCAAAAACAAGTGGAAACACTGCTGTGTTCGGCCCCAAACAGTGTGGAAACTCTGTCTTCTTGGCCCGAAAACATGAGGGAACATGGCCCATAACATGGCTGACAGGTGGCAGCGTTTCTGAAGTTTAGAGCTACGCTTGAAACGTGTTTGGGGAACCCCCCAAGCCTTTGACCTCTGAGACCGTGCCGGCAAACCTCTCAAGCGTGAAGCGCTGTGAGAAAATCGCTGCCCAGGGCCGCGGACCTGTGAACCATGGAGGGCATGGCTTCGAGAGGCGACAGGGTTGCCGAACGATTCAAAAGAATGTGCCTCCGACTGGCGGCAAGAAGCCGCTGGCACTTCGGTGGGCTGCTGCTCTGGCTGCTGCAGCGACCGTGGCTTCGGTTTGTTCCCCTTCCTTAGCACCAGAGGGGGAAGCCTGGAAAGCCCAAGCGGAAAGCATGGTCAAGAGTGGAGCCTACCCTCGACGGCACTACCGGCAAGCTGTGCTGAAAGGGAGCTTCGACAACCCAGAGCTCCTCCGTGGTGCGGCTTACCTTCGGGATCGACTGGGAGTTCGTCTTTCCTTTCTGGAGGACCCGGTGCTGGACGGGATGCCCGCTATGAAGGCCACCAAAGGGGCGAAGGCGGCGATCCAAGGGCAAATCATGGCGAAGTACCGCGAGGAGGCGGACGAGAAGCGGGCAAAAGGGGAGGACCTCCGGGCGGGCAGGACACTTTTGGATCCCCACGGAGGGCTGCCGTCTTTGAAGCAAGACTTGCTGCGACTAGCCACGCTTCTGAGAGTCGAGGTGTCATCCGACGACACGGTCGACAAGCTGAAATGCGGCGGCCGTCCAGGTGATCTGCTCTAAGTGCTTTGCGGGTAAAACTGATCACTCCACCGATGGCCTCCAAGAAGTCCCTTCCGAGCAGCAAGCCCAAGGTTTCGACCAACAACGCTGGCCCGCACGAAAACAAGGGTGCTCCCCACCATCATGGGCAACTTCTCTCTCTGAAAGCTGATTTTGGTGCCGTCGTTCCCAAACTTAAAGGTTTCCTTCTCGGTCTCCGACTTGAGGTGCGGTGCCACGGCCTGTCAACAAGCGTCATCTTTGAGTGCTTTCATGTAATGCTCGAACCATGGCTTTCCACAGACGGTGCGATTGCAAGCCGAATCCAAAGCACCCACCAATTTTTTGTCACTCGCCAGCATGTGTCCCACAAAGGTCTCATGGGGGCGGCCGCCAATCTCGAAGGCTTCCTCCAACGTGGTCACAACGGCCACTCGTGAGTGGCACTCGGGGGCTCCTCCTTGGTCTCGGCAGCGAGCACCTCTGTGAGCTGAACCCGTCGGGCCGGTGTGCCAGCACTGCCGCTGCCACGGCCGCCGCCCTTGCGGCCCAATCCAGCGCCAGGCTTTGTGCACACCTGGTCTCCTGCCCAATGCCCCGGCAAACCACAATCGAAGCAAGTCCCCTTCTTTCGGATCCCGCCGCCAGCCGACGAAGGAGAAGAGGGATTGGAGCGAGCACCGGAAGAAGCAGGAGACGCCTTCCCAAATCCTCGGTCTTTTCTGATCTCCTGCAGCTTGGTGCGCGCCTCTCTCATGGATAGCAGGTCCTCCGCAGCGTGCCAAAGGTGTCCTCGACGCTGCCTAGCGTTCCACTGTCCAAGCCTTCGCTCTCTGCTTCCTCGAGTTCGGCCGCCAGCGCCTGGGCCTCGGACTCCAATACTTCATCCAAGCTGGGGCTCGCATCGCCCTCGTCGGCCACGAGCTCCTCTTCATCATGGTCCTCGTCGTAAATCTCGGTCTCCCCGTCGCCCTCGGCTGCAAAAGCCTGCCGGGGCCGAACTGGAAAGAATCGCAGAAGAACTCGCCGCCCGGGAAGCCAAGGAGCTAGGAAAAGAAGACCTCGCAGTCGAAGATGCCGATGACCCTGCCTGCGAATAAAGTCCTCCTCGGCCTCGCCCTCTAGCCTCAGGATGCCCAAGTCGACGATAGAGCGGGTCGGAGGTGTGGATGTCCTTGAAGAGCCTCAGCGCTTCAGCTTCTACCATCGATGCCGTCAGCTGCCCAAGCGCCATCGGCGCTCTCGCCCCGTGATCGTGCCGCACCAGTACAGTCGAACAGGTCATCATCACAAGTCAGAGCAGCCATCAGGTTATCGCTACCAATGCGAGTAAAAAGATGCAGCACGGCTAGACGTGTAGTTCCCTAGACTCTGCAAGCGTTCAAGGTCTTGTCACTTGCATGCGCAAGCCCTTCCCTTTGTGAGCCTTGAACGGCGTTTCGGAGCGAGCTCAACGGCTGTTCCAGCCGTCAAGAAACCTTCAGTTTAGCACGCTCAACTGAAATCGGATCTGAGACGCTTTTCGTGAGCGGAGGCGGAGAAGCATGGAGAAGCGGCAGCACCGTGCATGGGATTGGTCTTGTGTAGTCTCCTGTTCGTTCGGTTCTTTCTTCCTTTTTGCTTCCATTCGTCTCTTCCTTGCCGGCGCTCTGCACTGACAGAGCCAAGCGGCTCTGGGCAGGGCTCGGGTCGGTAGCCGCAGGTGGGCGGCCGGCGCCGGTCGCGTGGGTTGTGGTAGAAGCCGCAAAGCTTCCGATCGTGGACGCCTCGGGTGCTCGTAGGGCTCCGCTGGGCCGGCTGGGCCCAGCACTTCCCAGCCGCCCCGGCCTCTGCCTTTGCGACAGGGGAAGACCTGCAGTACCGCACTGCCGGCTCCCCGGTTCGCGACCACCGCTTCTGCCGACAGCCGCGCCTTGAAGGTCTTCAAATCCACAGGTTCCAGACCTGGTCCATGCGCAGACAGACAGAAAAGAGCTGTGAAAAGCTGCCCATCGTCTCGTCTCAGAGTGCGGCCTCGGGTGTTGGTGCCCGAACCCGAAGCGCCCCCTGAGCCCGAGCGAGGGCCCCCCGAGGGCGGGGGCCCCTCCTCCGGGACGCTTTCAGCCCGGAGGACGCCGCTCAGCTCCTTCAGCTCCTTCTTTGGCCTCTCTCCTTCGGTAAGGGCCATCCCATGGGAGTAGCGAGCGACAGCTTGGCTTCGCAGCTCCTTCAAGCGACAGCTGCGTAGCAGACATCTGTGATCTAGAAAACACTTACTTCTTGCTCCTTCTCCGAATGTGCGAAGCAGCAAGTCGCCTTCTGGCAATCTCCGCCTTTTGCTTGAGGCAAAAATGCGCCGCAGGGCCAGACCGGTGCCTCTGAGCCCTTGGCCGTTGCAGAGTCGGGTTTTGTACTTTGCCGGGTGGTAGGAGATCTCGCCTTTGGAGTGCGCGAAGAGGCAGCGGTCACCCAAGTGGCACCTAGGCGGACGCTGTTTCGGCCACCTGTGCTGCGCCCCTGCTGCCGAGCTCGGCGCTTGTTGGGCTGCGAGATCCACTTGCAGGGAAGCCTCAGCCCAACAGCAGAGCCATGAGAGGGGCCGGGCAGGGGGGCCGTGCTGGCCGAGCTGCTCCCAGTAGCAGAGCTTCCCGTCCAGGCCGAGGACGCTGCGCCGGCGCTGGCCCTGCAGAGGAGTCGCGAAGACGCAGCGGAGGCGGAAGGGCGGAGGGAGGAGGAGTGCTGCAGCCGCCACCGCCGCGTGCGCCCGCTGCAAGTCTCGTTCCACCATCCACGGACCTTTGCTTCTCAAGCCTTCCGAGATCCTTTATCGCGAATTTCGCATCTGGCTCATGCAGTCGAACGCGAATGTCCACTTTATCCTGGCTCTTCTGTGAGACCTTGGCGGGACCTCAGAGATCATATGGTGTAGAACTTAGGCGCAGGAAGTGCTTGCTCTGGAATCGCGGCTCTCTTGCTAGCCCAAGTTTAGTATGGAGTTTCCTTGCAATGCCATGGCTGCCCTTTGTGGGCAAAGTCGAGTTCGGGGACGGGGGCTCGGGCTGCGTCTCTCGAGGCCTAGAGCCCGACGAGCCTCGAAATGGAAGTGAAAGCACCTGTGTAGCCAAAAAATGCCCATCGACTGATGGAGAACGCCGTGAAAAAATGCCGAGTGTGCCACTGCATCGGCTTGTGAAGCTCGCAATGTCCAGCCTACCGCAGTGCTCAACAGCTTGAACGGCTTGCTTGGTGGCTCCCCGACACAGCCTGGAAGTCCGGGCATTTGGAAGTTCTGCAATACCTGGAGTCCAGATGCAAGCCCCGCCGAACCGTTCACGCACTCCGGCATGCCGCACCTAATGAATCGCTCCAAATCCCCGTGCTCCGGCTCTGCCTGCCAGCTTGGCAGGGCTGGACCTCAGCTGAGCCAGATCCGCCATCCTGTCCACAAGCTCCGCTCTGTGGCCCCGGCCGCCCTGGCCCAGATCTCGGCCCTCAGCCGCCTCCGCCTTCTCCTTGGCCTTCTCAAAGCTTTGTGGCATCCTGACAGCAAGAGCGCAACAGCCGCGACAGCCGACACCCGACGCGGTCTCCGCTGCTCTCCGCTCTCCGCTCCTCTGCCGGAAGCCGCGAGCGGTTGCCGCTCACGCTGCGGCGGGAGCGCCCCATGGACGGCCGCGAGCTCGGCGGACGTCGAGGTCGCAGCGACAGACACTGGTAGCGGCGTTAGCGGCTGCGGCCCCTTTCGGGTAGAACAGCGCTTCTACTCTGGGGCTCTCTTCGAATTTCTTCGAGCCAAAGCCGTCATGTGCACGCAGAAACTCATGGCGAGGAGCTCACACAAAGGGGCAAAGGCGGCAAAGCTGGAGTGGCGGGACCCGAAGTCTCGGAGAGCCACGGGTGAGATCCTGTACTGCTTGAACTTTCAGTCTCGCAGAACTACTTCAGTGTTCTTTCTTATTCCCTTGCACTGCTGCAAAAGCGTCACATCTTGTCCTCCAGCTGTACTCCTGCTGAGGAAGCGGTTGCTTGAAATCGGTGATCATCACCTGCCAGACGTGGACTTTTAAGTCGGAACGGGACCGGTGTCATGGCCTTACCTACCCCAATCATGAGCCCACTGGAGTGCTGCCTTCGATTTCCGATTCGAGACAGTGTAGTAGAGCGATAAGAGAAGCTGGACCGCTGGATAGTGGAGAGACGCCCCCGCGCCCTTCTGCGTTGCACCTCGCGGGGCTTCGATGGCACGAAGTACTGCTCCCGAAGGAACCTGCACGGCAAAGCTAGCTCCCTTGCCCATGAGAGAAAGCAAGACAATTGAGACTCTCGGGCTCTCTTTGTGGCCGCAACTGCAGTCTTCCCGCGGGAAGCCGTCGGCTGTCGGCTAGCCCAAGACTTGCAAGGAGTGCAGAGTTCTGAGCTCGTGAAAAGCGGCTCTCAGTGCACTCGCTGCGAGAAATGCCGGATCAGATCATCCCCTTGCTCGTCGTCGTCCTCGGGCGCCGGGGTCGCCATGGCCTCCGCTTGACAGCGCAGAGAAGCGCAGAGAAGCGCAGCAGCGATGGAGCACGGAGCAGCGCGCGCAGCCGCGGGGCGCAGCCGCGGCGCGCCTCGGGCGTGCTGGGAGCCTGCGAAGCTCCGCCTGGGTTTCCTTGGGAGCTGGTGCGAAGCCTCGGAGCGCTCGCGGCGAGTTTTTTCGCTCGCGGCGCTCTCCGGCCCTCCCCCCCGGCTCCGGGCGCCCTGCGGCGTGGGTTGCTCCATGAACTCGGCAGAGCTCTCGTGCGCCGATTGCACCTCTCCGTCCGCTTTGCCCGCTGCGCACTCTCCCCAGCTCTCGCGCGCCTGCCGAGCTCCAGCATCTTCCTCTTCTCTGGCACTGCGCAGGCGCGGGGCTCAGGCTAAGAGGAGACAGGGCACTCCGAAAGAGGCGACAGGCGACAGGCCTTGGGTTGTAGGTTTCATCTCGCCAGTCGAAAGATGGGGGTGCGGCTGCCGCGCTCTTCGCCTCTGCGATCACGACCTCGAGGAGTCGAGGCGCAGGATGTAGCAGGATCTAGCAGTCTAGCAGGATGCAGTGTTTGAGCGGCCTCTCTGAGGGTCCCGCGCTCTTCAGGGCTTCCAACTCCTCACGGCGCCTTTGCTCCTCGTGGCCGAAAAGAAAAACGCCCGCCTTCCCGAAGCGCCCCTCCTGCGTCCTGCAGTGTCTCCGGGGCCAAGGACCTCGAGTCCATTCGGACCAAGTCCTGTCACGAGGGAAGCCACCCCCCTCTGATGTGGGTGTGGTCTACCCGACAACTTTGCCCTAAAGCGAAAGTTACGGAGAAGTCACCAAGAAGATATAATAAGTTGAGGTGGCTACCCGGCGAGTCCTGCGCACCGATTTCCCCAGTCAGGATTCGTCCTTGCGACCAGCGCGGACCAGCGCGCCCGGCGCGCACCAGCGCGCTCGCTGAAGCGGGTACTCGCTGCGTGCCGAGGCCCCGGCTTCTGAGGGCACCGTTCTCCGGCTGAACCATGTTGTGACCTTGCGCAGCATGCGCAAGCCGCGGCAGCATGCATGCGGCAGCATGCATGCGGCAGCTCCGCAAGCTGAGGCCTGGACGGAGCATCCGGGCGTGCTGCCGGTAGTCGCTGCTGGCGCCTGCATAGAGGGCGTAGAGCGCCGCCTCGATCTCCGAGGCCACGGTCGCGTGCGACCTCGGCTGTCTCGCTCTCTCGGCAGAGGCACTATATGGGCACTGTGGCAGCGCTCTCGGTGCCGCACCCAGCACCGTCTTCCAGACCCTGAGGCTCTGAGCCACAACCCCAAACGGCCCAACCCCTCACAGCTCTGAGGAATGTCAGCCGCCTGTCGGATCAGTTCCAGCACCTTCACCTCGGGGTTCGTGCAGCGTGGCAGTCTGCCCATTCATTCTATGTGCCGCTCTGCTCACCCGCAAGGCTTTGTTGGCGGGGGTATCCTGCACCGCCGGCTTGGGTTGTTGCCGCCACCTCCTCCGGTCCGAGAAGCGCTTCCGAACCACACTTCGACACTTCGCTTCAGCCGCAAAAACGCTCGCGTTTGCGCGCCCCCGCGTCCTGGACAAGGACTGCGTTGGGGCGCGCAGCTCGGCCGCCAGAGCCGTCCTCTCCTGGCTGCACCAACCTGACGTCGCACGCAATTTTGCCGCCAGAGCCCCCCCTTCTCAGTTTTGGATTCAGCACTCTTTGGCCCTGGCGGTGTAGGCGGTCGAAGGCCTTGCCGAGGATCTGCCGATGCTCCCACCTGAGGGGACCAAAGCTTGGAATCTTCTGTCAAGACGGAAAAAGCAAAGACGGCCGGCGGGGGCCGGGGGCCCCGCATCGTGGCGCGGCCCACTGCGAGGGCGTTCAAGCAGCTGAGGCCTGGGCCAAAGAGAGGCCAAGAGAGAAGAGCAGGAAGAGAGAAGAGAGAGTGCTTTAAGCTGCTGATGAGAGTACTTGCACTGCGCAGTACTGACTACGCTGAGTGCAGAAGACGCTCTGAGCCCTTTGCTCGCCAGAGTTCGCAGCCCCGCCTGACAGGCCGCAGGCCGGCAGGTTGCATCGTTGCTACAGCTCCAAGTTCGCGCAGGAATCCTGCGACAATACACAACGTTTGTGGAAGCTCAGGTTTCTGGTCGGACGGTCCATTAGAAAAGACGAGAATGCACGCAGCCTTGGTTTTGACCCGGGCTGGTGTGCAAAAACAAGGTCACTTAGTTAAAGCAACGACCCAACCCAGAGGCCTACCGCAGAGAAGTGCAAGTAGACCTTGTTTTCCTGAGTCATGCCTTGAGCCAAAGTATTGTAGATAACTTCAAGTGAAACACTGCATGCAACAGCCTACAGCGCAAGACCTAGAACACTCCTAGAAGCTATGCTTTACTACACCACTACTAGGTGCAAAGGCGTCGATAGTTCTTAACTCACTTGTTGCCTGTTGCTTGCCTCCGACAGCCCGGTAAATTTCCACAACGTAGCTGCACCATCCACGGGTTCCGCACCATAAACTTGCTGTCGCGAAACACTTCAATCACAACCTCTCCCGATGCACAGATTTCCCGAAGGGATTCGAATTCGCGGCCTCCTGGCGCTCCGTGTCTGGCCCAGCCTGGAGAGGAGGTCAGCTCAAGAAGAACGGGCATCAACGTCTGCATCGGCCTCCAGCACTTGCACTGATTCGGTCATCAGCTCGCCTGTTGGCGCTTCAAGAGTCGTCGGCACTCAAAGCAGGGCTTTTTGGACCATAGAATGAAACTGGCTGCAACTCCACGTTCTATCGAGCGCCACTATGGAGCCCCTACATGTCGTTGTGTCGGCAATCCCCGTCCCTGTGTCACGAGTTCCCGGCCCAGCAGTGGGAGGCCCTGTGCCTGAGCTGTCAGCTGTCAGCTGTCTGCACCAAATGTGACTAGCCAATGTGACTAGCTCGGCAGCTGGGGTCCTCGCAACGAACGCACCCCGACAGACTCGAGAGGACCGAGACCTCACAACTTCGCAGCGTTCCATACCCTTCACGGACGGGTCCATCGTCCATCGGCTCCAGACACGTAGACCAGAAGCAATGCCACACTGCGCAGCCGCCTACCGCGGAAAGCGACGAAGCTTGGCGCCGAAAACGGGCAGCCGCCTCGCCTCGTGCTGCCCCAGGAAGGAGCCTCCGTCTGAAGCTCCAAGAGCCTGAGAGAAAACGGCTCTCTTTTGCGAACTGCACTCTGAGTCGAGGCGGCCGTCTCGTCTTGGCTTCTCACAGGCTCGGCAGCGACGCCTGCGTCACACTCTGCCCTGCCCCCCCCCTCCCCCCCGAGCTTATAAGCGCTATGCGACCGACGCTCCACAGGTGCTCTCGGTTTTTAACCATAGTGGCGCATGTTAACGCGCAGCTGCGCTCATCTCGAGCCTCGTCCAGGGTGCCTTGCGCGAGTCGCCGGGCGAAGCGCTCCCTCGCTTGCTCCTGCGAAGAGCGAAACTCGAGCGAAGCGGAGGCCGAGGCGTCCGAAGCCTCCGGCGGGCGAGGGGCCTCTTCGATCCTATCGCAGGCGCCTCTCAGCCTCTCAGCCTCTTCCCTGCTCACTCACTGTGTCACTGTGTCACCCAATTGAGCAAAGCCGCAGCTCGTCTGCCTGGCACAGAGCGCGCCGCCCGCACAGGAGCTCCATTTCCCCCAGATCGGCGCCTCGTGCGCCTCAGCCTCGAAGTTCGTCGCGACGAAGGCTTCGAGTCTGGCTTCGAAGCTGGATTGGCGAAGAAGCTCTCGTGCCTTCTTCGAGGTGGGTTTGGGGGAGCTGCTGAGGCTGGAGTTGGCGGGGTGGGGGTTGCTAGGCTTGCTGGGGTTGCTGGGAAAGCTGCTGAAGCTGGGGTTGCTGGGGTTGCTGGGGTTGCTGGGGTTGCTGGAAAAGCTGCTGAAGCTGGGGTTGCTGGGGTTGCTGGGGTTGCTGGGGTTGCTGGGGTTGCTGGGGTTGCTAGGCTTGCTGGGGTTGCTGGGGTTGCTGGGGTTGCTGGGGTTGCTGGGGTTGCTGGGGTTGCTGGGGTTGCTGGGGTTGCTGGGGTTGCTGGGGTTGCTGGGGTTGCTGGGGTTGCTAGGCTTGCTGGGGTTGCTGGGGTTGCTGGGGTTGGGGAGGTTGCTGGGAAAGCTGCTGAAGCTGGGGTTGCTGGGGTTGCTGGGGTTGACCCTGGCGCGGCCAGGAGAGCTGGAGAGATCTTCCACCGGTCTCTCAAGGACACCGGAAGCTGCGATTGCCGAAGGCTGGGCTGTTGACGGCGTGCTCGTCGGGCCGTTCGGATCTGCTCGGGGAACCTGACAGGCAAGGAGCGGCGATTCAGAGACTGCGGGGCGCATCCTAGTGGCCCTAAGCCTAGCGCCTCCAGGCGCGCTTGCTTCGTCGGCCTCCCTGTCCCGACTCTCTCTGCGTGAAGAGCCTCTGCAGGCAGATGCAGGCCCTTGGCATGAAGGCGGTGCAATGCCAAGCCCGACCGCGGCTCGCGCAGCTCGTAGCTCGTCGGCAAAGGTCATCGGATCGCAAGCGCTGGCAGCTCCGCATGCGTTCTCATTTACAGACTACACAAGCTACACAAGCGCACGTGGCTAGCTGAACCCTGACACAGACACATGACGAGCGTCTAATTTGGAGGCTTTCAGAAGGAGACGTAGCTGTCTTGAAGAGCTGCGGAGAAGAGAGCATTCTGAGCTCAAGAGCTCCACATGACGGTGCGTTGGACCAGGGGTGCCTGCGCGCCATGCTCGCCCTGCGGGCAAAGCTCACAAACTTCGCCTGCCAGGCTCCGGAGACGCTCCCACAGCTGGGGCTCTCCTCCGGGGGCTCAGATGGGCTCAGGGCTCTCCTCGGGGCTCGTGGCGAGGAAGTTGAAGAGTTGGTGAACCGGGGCCGTCACGCTGCACATCACCTCAGGACGACAGCCGTCGGGATCGGATCAGCCAGCGAGGAGGAGGAGGAGGAGGGCGGCTCAGCGGCTCAGCGGCTCAGCTCCGAGCCAGGGAGCTCCCCACGTCGCAGAGGCCCGCCTTGCCCCGCATCTCCGGCAGCCGCTCCCTTCGAGAGGAGGCCGAGAAAAAGAGGCAGAAGAGCAGCATCGGAGGCAGAAGAGCAGCACAAGAAACAGAGCACGCCGAGGAGGCAGAGGAGAGCAGAGCGGAGCGGAGAGCATCACAGAATCACAGCAGCGGGGCCGGCTCTCCGGCCCTCCGTTCCTTCTGCCAAGCAGCTGAAACCAGGGCGAGAGGCTTCGAACTGCCATGACCTCTCGCTTTAAAGGCCGGCTCTTTTGAGCGTACTCTGATCTCCAGAAGGGTAGACATGTGGGGTATCGCTGTGGCCCGGGCGCTGAGGAAGTTTCGGATCAGGAGTGCCTCAGCGCAGAGCAGCGCAGAGCAGCTACTTCTGGGCCGGGGAGGGCCCCCGAAAAGAGCTTGGCCGCCCAACCTCGGCACCAGGGCCCCACATGTCCTGCCAAGAGAAAAGCTTGAAGAAGACGGATGCCGGACGTGAGATGTGTCTCTGCGGTCCTGAACAGGTGTCAAGGGAACCTCCAAAGAAGCGAAAGTACTGTGGCTTTTTCGCACGTGCGGGCAACGAGCCCCCCAGCATCCGCCGAGGCACGTTTTTGCGCGAGCCATCCACAACGGATGCGAAGAGAACAAAGGACTTGTTGTACCTGGCAGTGCAGAGCAGCAGGGCAGAGCTCTGGGCCCGGCTCCAAGAAGCCCAAGCCCAAGCCATGCCAGGGCATCGCCATCTGAGCGTTCCTTGGGGAAGAGCCGCCGGCCGAGCCGCGGAGCCGAGCGCGCTGAGGCCCGCTGAGGCCCTGGCCTGGATTGAGAACCGAAGGTCAGCACCTGACATATAAGGGCCCACGCCCTTGCTCCAACTTTTGTAAATGCTCCAACCCCACTTCCCCAAGAAGAGCCGAAGCGCCTTTTTGCTCCTTAGAAGCAGAAAAAACGCCTTACCTTACCTTAAGGAATCCCTGCAGGCAGCTCTTCTGCCCGTGTGAGACCAGAAGACGACTCCGCCGCCCCCCCGGCGGATCCGGATCGTTGCTCCGGATCTTCCTCCTGCGTCAAATGCAAATGCGCAATGCGCGGCGCGGCGGCTGAGGCCATGAGCAGAACTGCACAAATTCCCCACGACAACTGCTGAACTGAAAGGATCCCGCAGTCCCCCTGCATTTTCGCCACTGCGGTTATATCAGACTCCTTCCGAGCCCTCTGCACGATGAAAGGGGTCGCAAAACACACTTGGACTTCAGTAACACGACGTCTGCTGCAATCGAAAGGAAGGGAGCCGAAGGCGCGGAGAGCGGTGAGAGGTACGGATACTGGTAGGTTTACTTGCAGGGCCCAGCCTCTTTCCGGCTCCTCCCAAGAAGCTCTTTGCTCAGGAGGGTCATTCGGTACTGCACCTCGCGCCGACGCGCCGACGCGCCGTCGCGTGCCGATGCGCCATGAGAGCCCATGACTGGGCTGCGCTGGGCTGCTTCTTGGCACTGCACGCGATGCAGGTCTCTTGCAGAGGCCAGCTCTCTCTGCACCCTCCACCGGCGGAGATGCGCCTGGCAGGCAAAAGCGGGGGGCCAACCAGCGCCGGGCCGAGACAGAGCAGCGAAGCTTTTCCTGGATGGTGATGGCCGCTTGGATACAGAAGCGCAGGTGGTTCATGCGATCCGCCACACGTCTCCTCGAGAAAGAAACGGCTTCTCTTGCAGGACCACAGGACGGGAAGGGGTCACGGGGTGTCAGAATGTCCTCCGGATGACCCGGCGAATCCAGCTTCGGAGTCTGTGCCGGGCCGCCAACCTTTGCAGGATGGCCTCAGATGGGACGAGACGGGACGAGACGATGGGGCGCAAGGCGCGGCCGCTCGTGCGCCTGCCGCATGGGCAAACGGATTCGGTAGCTCCTCCACCTGCACGCTGCAATGCTGCAAGCAATCCGCAAGCAATCCGCAGCAGCAAGGCGCAAGAGCAGCAAGAGCAGCAAGGCGAGTCAGAGTCTGCGCTCAGCGCCTGCTCTGGATCCGCGTGGCCGCCCGATCCTGATGTCGCAAGATCTTCCTCTCGGCCAGCTCCTCCAACTTCCCGACGCTCATCTCATAGGTCAGCCCTCAGAGACAGAGGCTCGGCCGCCAAAAAGAAAGCGGGTGGCCTTCTGAAAGCTCCAAAGCTCGCTCTGCCTGGATCCCAGTCTCCCGCGTCGAGGCCAAGCCGCTCTGCCACCTGACCAAAGAGAGAGAGCAGAGAGACGCAGAGAAGGGAAAAAACTGCCGCCGGGCTTTCTCGGCGCCTCGAGGTGGAAGCGCTTCAAGGTCGGGGCCGGCTCCTGCCATTGCTGTCCGAGGATGGTCGTCCTCGTTGCGGAATGAGGAACTTCTTCAGGCGTGTCACCCTCACCCCCGCCCTCGCTCCTGTCACGGAACTTTGAGATCCCAAAGACCTGACCGTGCCACAAAGAGAGAGAGAGAGAGAGAGCTGGCTTTCGGACCTCCGGCAGCTTCCGTCTCTGAGCAGGGGTGAGCTCCAAGGTTCGTCCTTGCACTCGGGCTGCGCTCACCGCGCCCAGCCGCGCACAAGCCCAGAGCGACCTTCGTTGATGCCTTCGTCTTGCGTGTCGCTCTGCTCAACATCACTGCGGCCTCACGGGGTGAAACTGACAAGACTTCGAGAAGCTTCGCCCGAACTCTGCAGCTCACCCGACTCGTCTGGTGCTGCAGAAATGCTGGATCCAGGTCCTTGCAGAAAACTCCACTCGACACAACCCATCATGGGAAATAGCCTGCCCGCGGCTTCTCCTGCACTCCCGTCTTTCGGTATGAGAAGCCTGGTCAATGACAAAGCGAGAAAGCGACAAAGAAGTGTAAAAGATTGTAAAAGCAAAGGCGGCTGTGCTGGCCTGGCCAGGCCTGCAAGTTGACCTCGACGAGCGGGGCGAGGAGGGGAGCTTTCGTCTGCCGAGGCCGAGGCCGCCGAGGCCGCCGAGGCCGCCGAGGCCGCAACCCCACTGCGACTGCCTCTTCGGCCGCGCCTCCCAAAAAAAAAACCGCGCAAACCGCGCGTGGCGGCACCGGCGGCACCGTGCTACCGCCCCCCCTACCGCCCCCGCCGGGCCTCACTTCCTGCAGGGTTCGGCTGCAGGGTAGCTCCAGCCGAACCCCCGCCCGGGCTCAGCATGGATTGCCGCACCAGCTGTCCCAGGGCGGGCTGCTGCAGCAGCGACGGCTGACGAACCGCGATCCTCCTTCCACTGCCAAGTCTACACGAGGCTCTCAGAGGATTCATATGCCCTGGGCGGCATGGGTTCTTGGCCTCTGGGCGACGAGGTTCAGAGGATTCTCCGATGCAGAGAAAGAGGCCCTTCGCCCGCCGGCCCTCGGGATCCGCGGAACGGCAGAGCGAGGAGCGATCCGATCCGCTGCTTTTGCGGTGCGCTTCTTGGCGCCCGCGCATGCGCATGAAGCCCAGCCCTGGCACCTCGCCGCCCACAGACAGAGCGACGGCGTCGGCGGAAGAGCGCAAGTTCCGCCGCTCTCGCCTCTTCGTCGGAGTCTCCAGAGTCACTCGAGCTGTCGCTGGAGGTCCCGCTCGAGGAGGGCCCGCCGCCGGGCTCGGCACTCTCGCCACTTGGCTGGTCTGCAGAAGGCACAGCATGCGTGCACAGTGCACAGTCTGTGCAGTGCACACGCTCTACCTGCACAGGTTTCCCTCTCCTGAGCCGCTGCCGGAAGCGAAGGACTCGCGGGACTCCGGCGAGGCTCCACCTGCTCCGAGGCCAACGCCCCCCACGTGGCGGCGGCAACCTTAAAGCCCTCCGCCTTGTCTCGCTTCCGGCTTCGGCGTCTCCGTCATCGAACGTCGGCTTCCAAAAGCGTCCTCTCAGTCAGCGTATACAGGCGCGCGCACCCTAGAGACGCGGCCCTCTCTCCTGCGCTTGGAGGCCCGTGGCCGTGGAGGCCTCCGTGGAGAGGCGCTGCAGGAGGCTCGCGCGGCGCTTCTGCTGCAGCTTGTTCCCCGCTTTCCGCACGTCGTTCCTCTCTGCAGAGAACGAAGCGACGAGGCGGAGGCTGGGGGGCTGGGGGAAGAAGGGAGGAGAGGGAGCTTTCAAAGCAAGCTGTCTGCTGCTTATATACGTGTATGTACTGGGTATGACTTCATGCGGGGCCCGAGAAAAAGAGAGAAAGAGCAGAGGATATTCAGGGAATCAGAGCCGGCACTCGGCGAGCACCGGGGAGGGGGCAGGCACTTCTGCAGCGGCCAAGACACTGCAGGTCATCCACGTCTTTCCTTGAGAACACAGAGGCTTTGCCCCGGCGCTGCCATTTCCTGACTTGCAGAAAGAGCACACACCAGTGACCAGTGCGCCAGTGCCCTGATGTGCGAGCCAGATGCTCATAAGCTTTGCTGGCTTCGTTTCCAGAAGCCAGAATGAGCTGCTGGATGATCCGTGCATGTCTTACCTGGACGTCTGGGGAGTCTGGGGCTCTCCACAGATTCACGTCCCCTTCACTCCTGCCAAATCCTGACCACGTGCAGAGCGCATGTTGCCCCAACAGCCCGCAGCCACAAGAAGACGCTTTCAAGGTGCCGCCATCATGCCAGCATTGGCAGCATCCGACCCAAGACTGACCTGTCTCACAGTGTCACAGCGTTGAATCGGGAGAGATCTCCGAGGCCGAGGAGCGCACCATGTTGCCCAGAACAGCAGCCGATAAAAAGTTGTCGCGGCTTCGGCCCGCGGTGCCCCCGCCGCCGGGGCCCCCGCCGCCGGGGCCGGCGCCGCCCGGGCCCGCCCTTGGAAAACGGCAAGACGGCACACCGCCCTCTGTTTTCGATCTGAGGCCTGGACTTCAACACCTGAGCGAAGCAAGGGCCCCGGCCCCGTGCCGTCCGTGTGTGTTCTAGCGCTCTGAGTGCTGGGCGCTTCCCTCATTCTTTTCCTGCACAGCACCGGCCTGACTTACAGCCCGGACATGACACTACACGATTCGGGGGCTCTCCTCGGGTGATCCGCGAGCTTTCGCTTTGCCTGAAGTCAGAGCTCTTTTGAGTGCAGTGAGTGCAACTCTTCCCTCTGGTCGAGCTGCCCTCTGATGCCATGCTGCCACATTCTGCCTGAATCTCGAGCACCAAGTGCAACACGAAGAAGCACTCTCTTTGTCGAGGCTTCGACGCTTTGAGCGACACCAAGCCCGCACCCATGGTTAGGTCAGAAACTTGAGCCAAAGTCGCAAGAGACTGCTCTCCCCCTCGCAAGAAGAAGGCATTGCAGCCGGCGCACCGTCTCAAGGAGTGAAGCTCCAAAAGAAGCAACTGCCTTGTAGGCGTCAACAAGCAAGTCGCTCACTCGCTTCTTGCAGCTCTGGCACTGAACAAAACAGTTTGGATGCCTCAGTTCTTGGGAGGACACTGCATGGTGCGCAGGCTGTATGCTAGACTGCTAGACTGCTAGACTCAGGCTTTGGCAGATGTCAGCTCCATCAAGCCGCCATTCATGAAGTGGTACATCTGCAAACAGAAATTCTCTTTCGTCGTCTTTCGCTGAGTCCAGGGCCCCTTTAAGGCTTGCACAGGGCCAACTGCCAGGAACTGAGGGCAAGCGACGACCTGAGGAAGAGCCGAAGGACATGGAAGGACCGTTCAGAGCGCTTCGGGCAGCGGGCAGCGGGTGCCAAGCCGCCGGTCCAGCCTGCTTGCGGGCCACCTCGAAAAACCTCGCTTTTTTCGCTGTGAATCTGAAAAGCCTTTTGGAGCGCAATCCAAACCTTGGACCCGAACCTTGCGGTATAAACCAGCGATGCCCGACTTCTTGTCCTGCACGGCAGCTTCAATTCTTGCAAAGAGCGTGGTGTTCTCCTTCTGCATGGGGGTCTGTGGTGGGTTGCAGTCCTGCCTAACAGACACAGCTTTTTCACCATCAAAACGTTGCATGCCAACAACTTGCGTCCTGGGCGCCCAAGGTCAATCCATTTCGCAAGGGTGTGCACAGGAAGATCACCTTTCGATGCAATTTAGCCGGACGTGCTGCGGAAGGGTCGGTTCCACTTTCGCTTGGTATGCGACGCATGGTCCTCCGACTGCGCCGCTGACTAACAATGGTTTGTCTGGCAGTTTCTCCCTGCAGGCTCAAATGGCTATGGACATGATAATCATGTTGTTTGCTACAGGAGGTCCGTCCTGAACCGCGAATAGATGGAGGGTTGGCTGCCACCACCTTAGACGCAGTGTCCGGGGCAGCACATTGCAAGCGATTTCACTCTGAGATCCTGACAGCTAGTCGATCCATTGCTTGTCATGGAAGATATTACTTGCCGTTGGGAGACTGCTTCTGGGGCTACTGACAAATGCTGGACCGCTCATTCATGTTAGGGTTTCGATGCATCCAAGGAGCAATTGGTATGAATGAGGTTTTGCTGCGACACTTTCCACCTTCAGCCCAAACAACCCATCAAATTCAAGGACACATTCCACGACAGCAAGCTTAACTGCAACCGTAACATGGCCTTGCATGTGAAAAGTCAAAACAGATTCCACAACCTTGCATGACGCTACATGCTTGGCTCATCAACTGCGACTGCCGAACAGAACTGCCGCAAGCAATCCTTGAAGCAGCAGTTTGCTTTACTTTGAAGCCCTGTGTGTCGGCAACTTGCTACGTATGTTAAGCTAATGAGCTGATTAACATGAGAAATCTATGACTCATGCTTAGAAGAATGGCATCATGAAAAGATCGACCTGAAATCTGTATTTTTTCTCGCTCGGCGGCTGCTCTCAGAACCTGACAGCAGCCAAGGTCGCGAAGGGTCGCGAAGGGTCGGCGGCGCTCCGCGGGCGCGCCTCTCTGCGTTCGCCGTCTTCGCGTCTCGGGGAGCTCCCTGCAGCGGAGGAGCGGTGGCTTGTTCGATTCGAGGCCGTGGGGGGCCACGCCTTTTGTCCGCCGCAGCTCCCGCTCTGGCCGGGCCTTGGCTGTCACGGCGTTTAAACCGCCTTTCCTAAGTCGTGAAAGCAGAGCCGACGCCGACAAGTGGCTTCTTGAGGCCAGCGGACCAGGCACCAAGAGGCCTCCAACAGCGGCAGACGAACGGAGTGTCAGCTGAGGCCCCCCGAGGCTGCTGCGCATCGCTGTAGGAAGCAGGGTCCATGGGATCGACGTCCTCGCAGGCGAGAACAAGCCTCCGACCCTCCGGCCCTCCCGGCCCTCCCTCTCCCTCTCCTTCTTCTTGGCCTTCACTGCGCCGCCCGTCATCTCCTGACAGCGCGGAGCAGGAAGGAAGCCAAGCCGCTGCGCCGCCACCGGAGGGCGGAGGGCGCCTCGAGGCTCGGCAGCTTCGCCTCGACGCCCAGGTCCGCCAGGGCCTCACAACGTGCTGTGCCGCTGGCTGCCGCACAGTGCCGCTATGCTCTCTCTTTGCCGCCCCCGGCTTCCCTCCCGCTCGGCTCCGGGCACGCTCCACGTTCCGGCCGTAGCCTCAGCGGCTGAGCAGCTGAGGCGCAGCAGCTCCACCGAGCTCCCGCAGATCCCGCAGCTCCCTCCCCTCCCGTCCCGTCAACAGAAGGGCCAAGGTGCCCAACATGATCTCGATGCAACGCTTGCCTCCGTTTGCCTGTTTGGGCGGAGCAGGGCAGCTTAGGGCAGCCTGTTTGCAGCTTTGCAAGCTTCCAAAGGGCTCTCCTTCATCGCCGTGTCCGCCGTCACGGTAAGGGTGCAGAACTCGGCTGGCAGCTCCCCCGGTGCCCCCCCCTTCGCACAGAAGGGCTCCCCTCCATGCCTGGTCGTCCTTCAACTTGGTGCTTCCGTCACCTTCTCACTCTTGGGCCAAGAAGAGAAAGGCATGAGTGATACCTTCAGGCTTCCTATTCGGAGTTCCGGGTTCCTGCCTATGCCGCGACCAACCTTGTTGCCGTCGGCATCACGCATCTTCCCTTGCAATTGCAGCTGTTCTTCGGTCATCTGGTCTGACATGCACACATGGCCTTTCTTGCCCTTACCTTTCCCATCTTTAGCATCTTTGCCCTTGCCGTCCTGGCGACCCGATGTCAAAAGAAGCCAAGTTCGCAGACTGGAAACGGCTTCGCCGAGCTTCTACACTAGCTCGACAGGCAAACTGGAAGGCAGCACCCCTACTCGGAAACTGTGGAAACGAACTGACCAGACGCAGCGCAGGTTGTTCATGTCGCAAGTTCGTGAACATAGGATAGTCTTTCCCTCAGCGACGGCAGCATGGTTGCTTGCTGTGATTGTGAAATTCAAAAACACTTTGGCTTCATCGAAAGCTTTCAAGGTTCGGTGTGGCATGGAGCATCCGTCGAAGGGCTTAGCACGGAGTCTACAGGTCAAGAGCCCTCGAAAGGCTTCCAGTATCAGTATCGCGGGGAGACTCAGCAGGGCAAAGAGACAACAGAGGCCAGAAAAAAGGAGAGAAAAAACGAGAGAGAGAGAGAGAGGAGAGAGCTCTGAGAGAGAGCTGGGAGAGACGGCGGAGAGAGCGCCTGTCACTCGAGGGGACGGGACGGGACGGTTCGCTCTCCGGCGGCGCCTTCGCTTGCCTCGGCACCTGGATCTCGCAGCCGATGGATGCCTTTGAGCAGAGAGCAGAGAGAGCAGAGAGAGCAGAGCAAAGTATGCAGAGTGGATGCGCAGAGCAGAGAGAGGGGAGAGAGCGGAGAGAGCGGCGCGGTAAAGTTGACTTCCCCCGCAATTCAATTTCTCTGCCTTGATGATCTTCAGGTTCATCCCCTGTCGCCCGATGATTTTCCCCAGGTCTGTCCAGAGCACCTCCGAGAAGCGACGGCACTGTCTCTCAGATCTGGCGCCCTCCTGGGGATCCCTCAGGCCCCCCTGGGAGCACCACCCTATGCTCTTCTGTAAATTTGGGCTCCCTCTCCTTCTTCCCCAGACCTTTCTTCTTCTCGACCTCGACACGGCACATCTACAGCTAGTCGACTCTCTGTCGACTCTCTGTCGACTGTCACCGTGGCTTCGCGCGAGCGACGGGTCCTCCCAGGACACTTCGTCGGTGTTCATGTTCCAGAAGTAGAACTCGCCCTGACCACATCAAGGGAAAAACACCTCAGAAGATGTCACCAGGCGGAAACTCCGCTAAACCGCTCCTCATGTGGGACTCGAACCTGAGCGATGGGGTCCGCTTGTCGCTGTCTGAGCGTCTCCTTTCTCCGAGGCGGCGGCCCAGCCCGGGGGCAGCGGAGGCCCCGGAGGAGGAGGAGGAGCCGCCGTAGGCGAGGGCGCTGAGGGCGCTGAGGGTGCTGAGGGTGCTGAGGGCTCCGGCGAGGGCGGCAACCCGCCCGGCCCGCCCGCCACGGAGGATCCCCCTGCCACCTGTGCTTTCCCAAAAAAGCGGAGCCTTTTTTTTGAGATGATACTAGTAGCTTTTAGCTTTTCCCTTCTCTTAGCTCTTCCCCACCGCCTGCATCTGCCGCTTCGCCTCTGGCTCCGAGGCGGAAGGCAGCGTCCGTTTCTCCGTCCGTAGGACCGGAGCCGAGGCATAGACCACCTGCCGCCAGCAAAGGGCCGCCAGCCGAGCCGCCGTAGCGTTCGCCAAAAAAACGGAACTGCGCGCCTGTTGAGGTCGCTGAGTTGCGGCAGCTGCGGGCGGTGCCATGGCCTCTCTAGACTTTTCAAGGCAGCTACACTTCGTGTAGCGCTTCGCGCCGTGGCCCAGTTCGCATCGATGCGAGCTGCAGCTGCAGCTGCTGCGGATTGCGCCGCGGCCAAATCCATCGGGTTCTCAGTCGCGTTGAGCTGTCACTAGGTCTGAGTCGTTTCTAGGCCCGTCACAAACGAGGGCATCGGTGGCAGATCTTCTCTGGCTTTCGCGGCTTTCGCCTTCGACACACCGGCACCGACAGAACTGAGTGCACTTCCGACTCAGAGCTCTCCTTCACCACCGCCGCCGGCACACTCGCCGGGACGGCCGGGACGGCGACGGCTGGCGCTTCTTGGTCGAGGTCGGCGGCTTTGAGGATGCCCCGCTGGAGCAAGCGCTGTCTCAACTTCGCCGGCAGCCTACACAGGGAAAGCACTCTTTGACGCCTACCGGAGGATGCTCGTCGCCTGGCAATGCTTTCCGGCGTGTGCCCCCCATCTGGGCAGGTGAGGCAAAACCAAGTGCACCATCAAGTACGGAAGCTGGGTAACATGCTGGCGGAGACGTTGCCTGATGCCGACAACATGCGATTGGATGCGAAAAATGGCCTCCTGGCATTACGCTCTCTTTTCTGCGGGTGACTCCCTCTTCCTCGGCCTGCCGGTGGTGGCTCCGCAGGCAGTGGCGGCGGCTCGTCTGAGAGCGGCAGGAAGTGAGAGGGAGAGAAAACGCAAGGCGAGCAGAGCACGTGCCTCCACAGTCATCCTGCCATGAACATGGTGCAATCATCTCACCTTGTCAAGCATCCCTGCTCTTCTGCGCTTGCCTCTGCCATGGCTCAGTGTGTCATACTTGGTCATGCCAGATAGAAGTCAAACCGACTCTTTGAACAACTCTCAGGCTCGAAGGTCTGTGGTCTGAAGAGTCTGGTGTTTGGGCTTAGAACATTCATGGCTGCGCGAGAACAGCAAGGTTGCAGCGCCATGCCGCTTGCTTCTGTGCACAGGGCTCTTTTCGTGGCCTCTGCTGGTGGCCTCTACTTCTCTATCTCTCTCCCGGAATCGCCGCCGGCCTGTGAACTTCGGACGGCAAGTGAGCACGTGCTTGCTCCGCTGGCCTTTTAGGTCCAAGAACTGCCGGAGCTCGGAGTACACGACTCCTGCAGCAGCGCAACGATTCTGCACATCACTGCGTCCTGCGATGATCACCCCAGATGCACCTTCAAGCCTCAGCAATGGAAGCTCCTGCAAAGCGAAGGCACAGTCTCCTAGGTTGTTTTGGGTCTTGTTGCTGGCACTGCAGGGTCACTATCCTGGAATGCTTGAGGCATGTCAAGAGCCACGCCAGCATCCTTGGTCCACCTGGCAGATCTCCGCGCCGAAACCCTTTCTTTGGCTTGCTTTGGCCGAGCCTAGCTCTGGAAAACCCTTTCGGCCATGCTTCTCAAGCTCTGTGTCGCAAGACGCCCGAAAAAACCGCTTGATCTCCGCATGGAAGACTCCAAAATGTGCGGTGTGGCCTGCGTGTGTCCAGAACTTTGCTGGGCTGGCCGCGGACCTGTGAGAGCCGCATCGCCATCGGCAGCAAAAGCAAGACCATGCGGCGCTTTTCGGCTTGCAGTCGTACCGTCCCCTTTTTGCAGCGCTCGCAATCAGTAAAAGTGAGGTTCTGAGGTTCTGGTTCAGCCTTTCAGCCTTGGCTTCAGTATCCGCCCATTGGTGGTGCGGCCATCATTCCAGCACCTGCGCCTGCTGGTGGAGCCTGTTGTTGGGGGCGGTAGCCCATCCGTGTCAAGAACTCCATGTAAGTGCTCTGCAGACCGATTGTTCGATCTTCGATGAGCGCAGCGAAAAATTTGTTTTCTTTAGGCTCACCCTGTCGTATCACGTGCAGCTGCATGTAGGGAGTGGGTCGCTCAAGCCGCACCTGTCTGAGAATGTTTGCAATCTTGGTGGAGAGCGGGTCGCCCCGAGTACCGACTACGCTTTCTGCCGAGTTGGTGTCAATCTGCTCGAACGAGCTGACGCCGAAAACAGCCTGCACAAAGCTGGTGTCCACCGACCTTCCAATCCACATGTACATGGAGTCCCCATCCTCGAGCAAGTAGACCCCGTCCTGTGTCATCGACTCACTGGTCAAGTTCAGCATCTCCGGAAGCTGTACTCGGCCATGCTCATCCGGTGTCTGACATGTCTCAGGCGCATTGTGAATCGCCATGAGCCTTGGATTGAAGAATGCGGCTGTCTGCGAGACAGACAGGGTTTCTAGTCGCATCATGATGTAAGTCCGCAAGTCGGCCGAGATGTCATTCGTGGCCCGGAAGGCCGCAGACTTAAGCATGCCCATGATGTAGAGAGGAAGGTACTGCAAGGCTTCCGTCTGACACACATTTCCTGCTTGAACCACTTGTTGGCAGAAGGAGTTGAGCTTATTGCGACCCTCCGTCTGGTTGGTCTTGATTGACTGGTCCATGGCCTGATGGGACATCATCGCTGCGCTCGCCTGCACGTCGATGGAGCCAATGATGTCGTTGAAGTTGGGCGTGGTCAGTGCGGCCCACGTGTGTACTCGTATGCGTCGCTCGCCCTCACTGTTGGTGTAGAGCAGGGCACTCTGTACGTAGAGCACAGGGTCTGGTGTGACATTATCATCCATGTCAATCTGAATGGCGAAGGTCTGGTCAGAATGACAATTGGGAACTACCAGGAGGTCCTGTCCTCGAATGAAAAGGTGCCCGTCAAACTTGGTGATCTTCCAGCCACGTGAGACACGGACTCTCATGACCGCCTCCCATCCCATGTAGCGTGTTAGCACGTGCACCAGCTCGCTCTTGAATTTCACCTGGGCTCACAGCGCATGGAAGCACCAGGGACGATCAGAATGCATGTTGCACAGACCCCTTTGCCAAGGGGCAAAGCACGTATTGATGTTAAACTGAGGATAATAGTGGACATCACCGCCCGTGTACTTTGCAAGTGGGCAAATGGAGGCCAAGTCCATATACGCCTGGGGGGCCAGGAACAACTCCACGGAGATTTGCGCAGGAGTTAGCTCCTGCCAGAAAGAAACGTGTCCATCGTTGTCCCTAGGGATCTGACGATCACTGTCTCTGTCCTGCGCCAACTGCTTGTACCCGTCGTTCCCTCCGACAAGCTAAGACAAGCACCCAGCGGAAACAATTGAAGACTCTTTGCGCTGCATTCTCTTTATTTAGCCCAGGCGCCAGCAGGCCGCAGCAATTCTACTTCTCGGTCTGTGCCAAGCAACCTGATTCACGACTGCACGAGAACTCACGACGCGAATCGGAAAAGTTAGAGATGTCTTGCAGCGCAGCTCCCACCTTGGGTTATCTCGGGTCGACTTAAGCGCCAGCTCGCCCACACTGGGGATGCAGGCACCGAACACCAGAAGCTTGCCACCGATGTGCTTCATCGCCTCACAGAGCTGAGGCAAGAAATGAGTCGACTTCTTGATTTCTTCGGGACATAAGGCGAGCGGCCATGAAGGCTCCACGCACCGCGGAGCCCAGGCAGGATTCGTTGACTTTTGTCTCGCCAAAAATTGACGGCAAGGAGTCCAGCAGGTTGAGAATGGCAGCCTCACTCTCTGCTAAGGGCACGAGGATATCGTCTGGCAAGGGAAGGAAAAGATCTTCAAGGTCTGAAACCACGAGCATCTGCGGCTGGCTCAGATTGGAATTTAAGTTGTAGAAGTGTAAGCTGGTGTCAAAGGTGATAATGCCCACCTGGACCCGCTGACCTCCAGGAATGTTGCCTGACTGAATGGCCTCCTTGATACTTGCCACAACGGTGTTCAACAAGCCCGTCACCACTGAGGTGTACGAGACGTCGATCACGAACATGAAGACCGGAGGCTGTGGAGGCCGGACCATGTACTCACCCGGCGCGATGTACTCGACTGCACCTTTGTGCAGCTCGGCGCGCTGGAAGCGGTCCATACGCTTGCCTGACTCGTCCAGGCTGGCATAGTACGTGTCCGGTGTTAGCTGAGAGAAGCCACAAAGGTTGCAATTCCAGCGACGGCCGTTCGCCTCCCACTGCACAAAGGGGTTCACGTACGTTCGGCACTGCTTGCATCTGACGATCGTCCCCACAGCACCAAAGTTCACTGAAGCGACCTGCTCCACATCCGGAGCCAAAGGTGCCAGGGGTTGCAAAACAACACCCAAGGGGATGTTTAACCTCTGCTTGGCACTCGCTGAGTTGGGCAGTCTTGAAACTGAGCAACGAACAAAATGAGCTGGAGAGTTGAAAGTCTCTACATCACGCAGAAATTGTGCAGAATATGCATCTTGTCCAGTGCTTGTCTGCATCCCGCCATGCGCGGCTGGCGCACCTGGCGCACCTGGCACAGAAGAATCTGCTTGAGGGTAGAGACCTCGTGCTTGTGCTGTTGCAGCAGCACCAAATGCTGCTGGTGGCTCTGTGTGAGCTGCCGCACCCATGCCTGTTCCAGGAAAGGTCGAAGCAGCCGGAGTCGTTCTCATCTGATCCACTGTGGGTGGAGGTGGCACGTTTACTGGGGCAGGGCCTGGTGGACCGCCCATGGGCGGTGCGCCTAGAGGTGGCCCACCCATGGGCGGCGCGCCCATGGGTGGGGCCCCTCCCATGGGAGGACCTCCCATTGAAGGTCCGCCCGCTGCGGCCTGGGGGGCGCCTGGAAACGCCGACGTGGGCGGTGCTCCGAAGGCTGAGGTGGGTGGAGCGCCACCTGCTGCACCTGCGAAGGGGCTGGCTCGAACATTGCCAGCAGCCGCGAACGGGCTTGCGTTGGCAGGAGCACCGGCGCCCGCTCCCGGAGGCCCAGCTGGAAATCCGGGGCTGTAAGGATGCATGCTGCCTACCCCGCCGCTTGAGCTACAGCTGACATGTCAGGAACATCGATGCAAGTGCCAACAACATAAAACATGAGATCACTGGCACCAGTGCTGACACTAAGTAGCAGACTAGAAATGGCATGCTAAACCGCTGTTTTCCCGAGTCCTGTGCAGCAACCGAAGGGAGATAAGATCTCCTAAGCACACACGCCGGCCTCACAGCACACTCGGTGGCGCGCAGCCACGTACGCGCCCCTGGTCAGAACCTGCCCAGGGCATTCGTTGTGGTCTCGAGGTGTTCTCAAGCTCGAAGCAGCCTCTAGGAAGTCACCGACGAATGCCACCAAGTGACCCTGCGACAGTCCTGACCTTCCAGAAGAGCTTTGAGAAAGAGCGATCCGGTTTGAGTTTTGGGGATCCCACTCCACATCCAACCAAGGCAGCCCGGGGCTTTCAAGATCCCGGAACTGCAACCTCAAGGGACCAAGGCAAAAAAACGTTCCCTTACTCTCTCCCTTTCTTCCCGGGTTCTGTGCCCGGGAAGAGAGCCCACGGGCCTCGGTGACTCGGCGAAGGACGGCTGAGCTTCGAGTTTTCTCCCAAACCCACCGGGCCCCGACGCGAGGGTCATGAAGGAGGCATCCGTGTGCTCATCAAAGACAACTGCCACAAGGAATGCGCGAACCGCAGAACCAAGGCACTCCAAGCCCAAGTGCCTGATTCCAGCTCCACCGCAACCTGCTCCGAGCCCTTTCGTCCTTGTGCCTCCAGGCTTAGACGCTCCGACTCGGGCACGGCCACGGGCCTCAAACTCGGCTTCGGCCTCCTCGGCGGCTTCGGCTTGGAAGCCGTAGCTGCAGAGACCTCAGAGTCTGTGACAGGGACGGCCGGGACGGTGCCGCCCTTTCCTCTCCAAAAGCTCCGCGCGCAACACCGAGGCGCTGCAGTCGCCGTCCTCTTTGAATACAATTTCAACCGCAAAAGCGCAACCCGTCGCAATCGCCGTGCCTCTAAGTTAGAAAGCGAGGCCTCGTCGAGGCTCCTCGGCGCGGTGCTGCATCATGCAAAAGTCCCCGTTTAGTTCACGGGCGGGGCCCCCACTGGAGCAGCGCCTCGGATGGAATTTCCAGAAACTCCGCCATCCATGTGATCAAAGACCTCGCCAAGGCCTCGCCAAGTGTCGGACACACACACACACATCCACAATGAAACACACGCACACACACTGAAGAAGTGTTGTCTGCACTCCCGGATGGATGTCCGCAAAGGACGGCTACACCGTTACACTAGATGACAACTGCGTTTGTGGAGTTGAATCGTGTATGCAGAGTCATCATGTATCACAAACTTCAATTGCAAGTACAGGATCAAGCGTGCTTGATCCCTTCACACCTTTGGCAAAAGCTTCGTTGCGTGCAGTATGCTCAGGGTGCCGCATGCCCGTGCAAAATCTGCAATTCGCAGTTCACATGAAAACCTGGTGCAACAAGCTGGCGAAAGGGTTGTGAACCCTTATCTCATGACCGAAAGAAGCGCACACACACATGGCCCCTGACTGGGCCGCATGTGAGCTAGTGCATGCAAGTGGTGCTCAAAATGCATCGTTGTTTGTCAATGAAACGCATTGCGGGTTTTGTCATCGGTTCTGTTCGGGTGAAACTCGATGATCACTGCTGCTTGCTGTTGTGGAAGGAATGGTGGTGGGCTTGGAGCCAGCCGCCTTTCGTAGATGCTTCAGAGGAAACGTTTGAAAAGCCTGGGTGTATGAATGCGGATCGAATGGCCTTGTCGGGAGATCTTGGGGATCTTTCCGATACTACCGACTCGACGAAACCACAAGACTCTTTCCGGTGCAATACGTTCGAGCTGTGGAAGTGCACGTGGAACCCGGTTCTCCAGTAAGAAACCTGTGATATGAGTCATCTGTGGCTCATAAACCAAAGGTGCCGAACGTTTGTTGTAGTACGTCGCAGGCCTTGGGGAGTGCGGAGGGCAGAAGTGATCATGCAGTGCACGCTGCCGAAACTGTGCCGGTGGCCTCGAGCGCTGTTGGGTCCGGTTGATCCATTGTCTGGTGGCCCGGAACCATGCTTTCCACCAGAAAGTACCGTCCGTCTGCCAATGCCATCGCCACTCGCTTGTTCTGGGCGAGTGACGAGTGTGATCTCGCCGTGGCCGGTATGTGCTGCGGTGCAATGAGACTTTGCTGAAAAAGGCTGCGGGCGCCTGTTAGTACCTGGTTAATCATCGTGCGCGTTCAAAGCATGGTTGCATTGAATCAGCCCAAGCTCTTTTTTTTGCACACGTCATGGAAGAAGCTCTGCAGATCCAAATTCCTATTACTGTGACCAATCAGCAGTGTCCTGTCGGAGGAGGCTCTCGAGCACATCCGTCTAGTGCTGAGGGGCCCTCTAGTTTGAGGTGTGAATCACTCACTGCGCGCTGCAAATTCTTGATATGCTGAATGCCTCGTCGTTTGGCTGGTTGGGATGCAGGCGGCGGATATGGTGGAGTCTGTGGGGCCTGAACCTCCTCCGCTACGTCCTGTTCTTGTTGTTCCGGCTGCTCGTCATCGATGGTGTCGAATGTGTCCGTAGTCACTCGCAGGATTTGCTTGCGTGGTGCAGGGGTCTCCGCGGGCCTCGCTGCGCTTTCGTACGGTTGTGAGGCTTCACCGACGCGGGATCTGAATGGTTTCTGCCGTTTCTGTCTGCGGTCCCGCTGTGGTTGGTACGGGTTGTTGCTGCTCATCGCCTTGTGGGTCGGTTGCAGCTTTCCACTCAAGGCGCTGTGATGTATCGTAGCTCAATGTTTGCTCAGCCAAGTGGCTGCTCAATCTCAGTAATGTTTTCGCAGCTGATGCAGAGACGGGTGCATAACTGTCAGAAGATCTACAGAAAAGACCCAAGGGGTGTCGCTGCTGTGATACTCTTCGCCATGTAGGCCGGCGTAGATGGTTTCATCATCCTGCACGGCGCTTCATCACGCGTTGTGCTGGGATTGGACGAGCATCTTCCAGCGCCTGTACGCGGCTGAGGAGTTGTTGGATCGCAGCGTTGATGGTCTGGAAGCAATCGGCAAGCATATTGTTGAGCTCTTGATCTGTGACATCTTTAGGATCTGCAGATGATCTTGCTCTCCAGCCGCGGCCCCCTTCGTCGCACCCTTGTCCTCGTTCTCGTGGTGGCTCCAGTTGTGGTGCGGCGGGTCAAGTCCTCAGCCCTCGTCCACCTCACGCACCTGTAAACTGGTAGACCAGTAGCTCGATGCTGCGACCGTCCGGGGGACGAGTGAATGGCTGCTTGCTCCCGGCAACCACATGGAAGCTGCTCAGCGGCGCCGGCTTCGGCTCCGCGAGCGTCCAACTCCCAGCTGCTCGATCCAGCCCCTCGTCGGCCCTCGTCGTGCTCGGCCCCCGCCAAAGCGTCGAAGACGCTCGAAAGGGGGTACTGCTGCTGTCTGCGGGCCCTGGTCTCGACCCACGCGGGCCGCAACTCCAGAAAGAAGTGCTGCTTAAATACAGCATCAGTGTCCTCAGGCGAGGCATAGACAACAATGAAGGTGTGGTCCATGGTCTTCTGCGGCTGCCTGACAACCAATCTCATGCCGCGGAGTCTTCCGGAAAATCGTCTGGAAGGATCAATGCGTTGACGAACATCATTTACCTGGAAGCAACGAACACTGAGCAGCAGCAGGACGCCCAGCTGCGCCGAGAAGGGCAGGGTGGTAGCCGTAGATGCGGTAGCCGAAGAGATGCTATCCTGCTGCTTGTTCCTCGCCTTGGTTTCCTCCACAGTTGTTGGCTTAGCCGGCTTGCCAAAGGCCTCTCCAGGGGTGGGGTCCGTAGCCGTCCAACGGCAGCGCTAGCCCTCAGCTCTTGCTCTAGCTGCAACATCTTAGCCTTCTGCAGCATCATATCGTCTAGCATCGTGAACTTATCTTCGCTAGCCCTCGGCCTCTCCGCCGGCGTCTGCTCGGGCGGGCTAGCCTGCTGGTCCTCGCCCTGGCCTTGCCACGGCGTACTCCGTCTCCTCTCCCAGTTCCCATTGAAGATTCTTCCTCCATTCTCTCGCCAGGTCCACCCCTGGTGTCTCAGGTATGTCACGGCCTGCAGACTCCTGACTGAACATGGGAACGTCAATTCCCTGGCACCCAAAACTCGGCCAAGGAACTGCTGAGGGAGACGGCGCCGTCCCTTCATCGTCAACAGGGTACTGCAAGATGTCCACGCCGACAACGTTTGAATTAAAGGAAGCAAACAAAGAGAAGCGAACCAACAGCGCAATCAGAAACCGAGATGCTGCCAAAACCATGAGCTGACACTGATCAATGCTCTAAATCACGCTCCTTCAGGAGCGCCATATGATTGCTGTCACGAAAGCCCGTCTAAATAGGGGCACCATGCCACTGTTGGCCCCATAGGAGCGGTTGGGCCTATCAACCCGAAGAAGCTGGCCAACGTACCCTGGCAGTTCGCATGAGCGAGTGTTGCCGGTGGCGACAAGGCCGCACACGGAGTGTAGGTTGACACCGCCATTCACACTTTCTGGGGAAGATCTTGATGTCGATGGTGGTTCGCCTAAGCAAGGATGACTGCAATGCAACCATCACTCGGCTTGCCAGGTTTTTGGCTTGGCCTGGTTGCCATGCTGTATGCAGATCAGTCCCAGCATCCTGAGGTCACCATAGAGATAATAGAGAGCTTCGTTGAGCGGAGCTCTATGGGCCTCCTCTGCCCCCCCTGCTGATGACAACATCTCACAACACGAATGTTTGCCAAAAGCCCTTAGCTTCTCTGTCACAAGTGTGCCATCAAATTCGTGAAACCCCTCGCGGGCTCCGAACAACTGACGAAATCAAGCTCGCCAGCCGAGTGCAGCAAAGCATAACGTCTGAACACCAAGTTTGCAGCCCGAACTTTGAGTCATACGACACGCCATTCATGCCCGCATTTGTGGACTTTGTATGGAAGGTGCCTGACACCGTCCGCTGAGGCTATACATACTCCAGGCGCGCTGGATCACAAAATGCCTCAGGCACCTGCTTTCCCATCTAAACCCCAAAGGCGGGAGTGCGCAGCAAGGAGGCAATAAAAGTGAGACGAGGCTACACAGTCACTACTTGATTCTACGCGTGACAGATACAGACAGGTCGGAGACATCATCCAATCTATCACAAGTGTGCCATCAAATTCGTGAAGCCCCTCGCGGGCTCCGAACAACTGACGAAATCAAGATCGCCAGCCGAGTGCAGCAAAGCATAACATCTGAACACCAAGTTTGCAGTCCGAACTTTGAGTCGTGCGACACGCCATTCATGCCCGCATTTTTGGACTTTGTATGGAAGGTGCCTGACACCGTCCGCTGAGGCTATACATACTCCAAGCGCGCTGGATCACAAAATGCCTCAGGCACCTGCTTTCCCATGTATCCTCAACACTGCAAAGTACCCGACAACGTTTCAAACACCAAACTCTCGAAACGCGCAAAGCGCTCAGCTGTAAACCGCGATACGCTGGGCAGAATGGAAGCGCAAAGATACAAACGATCAAAGAGCCACCAGCTGTGCTTGATTGCGGCATTCCACTTGCTCAATCGTTCCTGAAGGCCGACTTGCATCAATAAACGCGCTCGTAACACTGCCACTTCCCCCTGCCTAATGTATTCCCGAGCTGAACGTTCTCTGAGCCATCGTCCAAACACCAGAACATCAGACAAAGGCTCTGAAGCACCCGATCGCCGGAATGTGCGTGTTGTGAGCTGGAGCGCATCCGCGCCGAGCAGATTGGCCAACTTACGCACTCAGCGCAGCACTGAGGTAGAAGAAAGCTGGAACACATAATCAACGGGAGAGCCTTGAAGAAAACGAATCAAGTAATCCTGAAACCACTGCACCACGGCCCCATCCTTGAGAACCACCTTCTGCTCCATACCACGCTTGGTTTTACCCAAACAGAGCACGATAGAATCAGGCTGGATCACAACGTCCCGCCACATCAATGTGAGCCAGTGTAGCACCACCTCATGCTACTGCGAACATCGAAATGACCAGCTCAGGAGGGGCCGCTGGCGCCTGCCGTGGGGGAACCCTACACCCCCACGCATCATAGACCTTCTAAGCCGTCTTGAAAGCGAGGGTTTAC